AAAACCAATATTATACCGTATATAGTCGGCTATGAACAGCCGTACAGCTGGCTTTAATTACTTTTATCCACTATATTTGAACGTTGGTGGATAGTTGTCTCATTGGCAATTTTACCACATCTTCACATTTATATATAGAGTCTACTGTCAGAACAAACTTTTGGTTAAACTCAAGTGTATACTTTTCTTAGGTTGTATGATCTCATTTATTTATAACAGAACTGTGTTTTAACACAATTATTTAAAGTCTATTATTTAGAACGTATCAGTGTATAGTGCTTTCATTATGGTTATGATGACGGATTTTGGAGGCACATGTTTTATTATGTGTTTTAAATAAAATTGAGAATGGAAATGGGGAATGTGTCAAAGAGAAAACAACCCGACCATAGAACAGACAACAGCAGAAGGTCACCAACAGGTATTCAATGCAGCGAGAAATTCCCGCACCCGGAGGCGTCCTTCAGCTGGCCTCTAAACAAAAATATATACTAGTTCAGTGATAATGAACGCCATACTAAACTCCAAATTTGTACACAAGAAACTAAAATTAAAAATAATATAAGACTAACAAAGGCTAGAGGCTCCTGACTTGGGACAGGCGCAAAAATGCGGCGGGGTTAAACATGTTTATGAGATCTCAACCCTCCCCCTATACCTCTAACCAATGTAGAAAAGTAAACGCATAACAATACGCACATTAAAATTCAGTTCAAGAGAAGTCCGAGTCTGATGTCAGAAGATGTAACCAAAGAAAATAAACAAAATGACAATAATACATAAATAACAACAGACTACTAGCAGTTAACGTTGAATAATTTAAAGTTGTAATAACAAGTTTTTTTTCTAATAAAAATATTTTTATATATACTATTAACCTTTTTTAACCCGTATTATTGGCGCAAAAAGAGTGATTGATCTGGCCCAAATGAAATATGGTTTGTGGAGCAAATGAAAGATAATTTTGAAGCAAATGAAATGCTAATAGGCGCAAAAGCAATGTACCGGTGTATGGCTAGTTTTAAAAGTACCTCGATTTTCACATAGTTTTATTTCATTTGGTACTAGCTAATTAGTCCTATAATATAAGACTTCGAAGATTCATATCGCTTACATTCAACGTTTTTATCGGATATAGTTTACACGTGGTTCAGCATTGATAGTAAAAAAAAATTTCCGATAAAAAACGTTGAATGCAAACGATATCAACCTACGCAGTCTTATATTATAGGACTTAAGTGCTATGTGCGAATGGTTTTTACGTGGAATTTGTATATGGCCTCACTACAACTAGATTATTATATGCAGAAGATCTTAAAAATGTCTGCTGTGTAGGTTTATAATTGGACAACATTTAAAAAAGAAGATGTGTTATGATTGCCAATGAGACATCTCTCCACAAGAGACCAAATGACTCAGAAATTAACAACTATCGGTCACCTTACTACCTTCAACAATAAGCAAAACCCATACCTCATAGTCAGCTATAACAGGCCCCGACATGACAAATGTAAAACAATTCAAACGAGAAAAGTAACGGCCTAATTTATGAACGAAAAACAAATGTGTAACACATCAACAAACGACAACCATTGAATTACAGGCTCCTGACTTGGGACAGGCACATACATACAGAATGTGGCGGGGTTAAACATGTTAGCGGGACCCCCCCCCCCCCCCCCCCTAACCTGGGACAGTGGTATAACAGTACAACATGAGAACGAACTATAAATATCAGTTGAAAAAGTCTTAACTCATCAGATGAATACAAATAGAAATACATCTAACAAAAACACAGAGTGGACATGGCCGGTTACTTGTATATCCCAACAACAAAAAGACACTAAATACAGATCTTAGAGTACTCGCATTTACTAGCAGCTAGTTCAAAGCCACTAACAACTAATGAAAAAAAATCATGCATCTAAGACTAAATTATCAATCAGTACACATCTAACATAGTTCTTTAAGGTAATTGGTAGCTTTATTATTGAGAATTTTATGAACACGAATCAATTATTGACAAGAAATCCTAGATTTGAAATTTAACCATTTCAGCTCTTTAAATAAATTAACAGTAGAGGTGTTAGTATTGGTGCATTAAGTATAATTTTGACAGCTCTTTTCTGCATCTTAGCAATTCTTTGAATTCCATCTGCATTACATTTTCGCCATATTGAGCAACACAAATGAATTATGGGCAGAATATAGGCATTATAAATACAGAATACCTAGAAGCTCTTGTGTTTCAACAGATGTTATTGGGTTATCTTGTATAACTATATATTTAGTTTATGACCTATCAAATATCGTTTTTGATTTGTTCCAACCAGCATAAAAGTAGTTTTTAATGGATTTTAATATTACCATATTGTTGTTTAAACACGATTTCTTTATAGTATAATCTATTGGTATCGTGGTTTAGTTTTCTCTTTATCGCTTCCTTATTTATACCAGACTGTTTATACCAAGGGTATGAAGTGTTGTATTCAATGACTGAAATTGATGCCTCTTAAGTCACATGATTTATGAATACAACTAACAGTAGGATACATAAAAATAGACCCTTGAGGAACCCCATGTTTAATGATATCAGAATCTGAAGTTGTATTAACTGAGCACACTTTGTGTGGTCTATTTGAGAGACACGAGTTAATTGGACCATTTCACTAAAAAATCTGAGACATTGTTTGAATGAATGCAATAAATGGCAGAGAATGAGATGATCGACAAGATCAAATGCTTTTTTTCAGATCTGGAAAGGCTGTTCCTACATTTTCTGGGAAAACACCTAGTATACTTAAGTTAATTATATATGTTATACTTGGTGCTAAAGCTTCTGATGATTTTTTAAGGGAAAATGGGCCAACATCATCTATATATATATATAAGCCTGTTGTTTTTGGACGTTTCTTACTTACGGAAAGTATATTTTAGTTTCATATGTTTTGATAAATGGAATCGTTAATCTAACATTCTGGGGGATTTAACCTTGCACGTACGAAATTATTTAATTTATCTGCTTGAAAGGATTACAATCTCCTGTTGTTGTGAAGTATGTGTTAAAGATGTTTTCTATATCTTGTATATTACCATATTTCTTATTACTGAGAGCTAAGGTAGAATAAATTACATTTGGAACTGTAGGTTTTAAATCTTTGAGTTGATCCCACATTTCTTTATGTGGTTTGCTATTTTCTATTGGCTGCTTGAAATATGACTGTTTAGGGAGCAACCATTTAACTACAAGGGGGAAGGGGGGAGAGGGGGTTATGGTTTTAAGTCAGTTTGTTTGATTCAGAATTTCTTTTCGTGCAAAGCGCGTACCAATTAATTTACTTTTTCAACACTATCAATCAAATAATTTGGTTCAAAATTTAACACTACAAGGTATGGGGAAAATCTGGATTCAGAATATTTTTTGTGTCTTCTACTTGAAAAGAATATTTTTCATCAATTTGAGAATCAGAATATATTTTTTAGGAAAAATATATGGTAAAAAAAAAAGTATTATAACACCTCCTAATTCCATTTAAAATTTTTTACAAGTATTGTCATTCTATTTTCTCCATTCTCTCTGATATCTATGATTCTTAGATAAATATGCATTTCATTTATAAATTCATTGTAATGGCAATCTGCTCCGCCTATGTGACGGGCACTGTGATTAACAAGATAAAGACAATAAAAAAATAGATCTGTATTGTATAACAATGTTTTTCATGTCTGTATTATAACTGAGACTACTTTACACATAGTTGTCTAATGTTGAAACGAGATATAAAAAACGCTTATAATAAGAATGTGTTTACATGTATTATGTTCATGGTCTTATTCATAATTCTTGGTGAAACGGCGGTATTTAGTTCAATCATTTTCCCCGCCAATTTAGGGTCTCACTAATTAGCAACAAGAAGCGTCAAGAAGCGACAAGAAGAATAATTTTAGCGTCAAGAAGCGACAAGAAGACTATTTAGCGACAAGAAGACTATTTAGCGACAAGAAAACATTTTTTTTTATTAAGATTACTTATTCCAAATAAATATTAAAATATATGCAATTGATTTTTTTTAACATATGGGCAGGAATAAATTAATATTTGTTTTTTTATTATATTGATCAGATGAAGAAATTAAACATTTGTGAGGAAGAAAGGGATTGTGTAGTTTTTTTTAGAGTGTAAGTTTAATAATGCAGGGTATAACTTCCCTTACTATTTCCTTTGCCCAAGAGGAAAACCCTTATCCTAAGGGATTTAGTTTGTCACGGCAACTTTGTACACGCGTCAGACTATACAATTACACGCGCCAGAATATACAATCATTGTAAATTTTGAACACCTGTTGAAAACTCAAGATTGTCATTAATTTCCTTTAATCTTCAATCAACATTAAACTATTCATAAAGTTAACATGATAAATATCGTTAAATGAGGAAATACACAAAATAAAATGATGAAAAATATTCACATTTATGTTTTACTCTTGTTTGAATTTGTGTCTGTATTTTCTGGACAATGATGCACAAATAATGCTTTTCGCAAGTTTATTATATAGTGTATATTATTTAAGAGAGTTTTAAAAACAAATCATAAGATTAATATCATAATACGACAGGGTAAACGTAATACTTGCTGTTATACATAACAAATAATAAAATATCACAAATACATGTAGCAATTAGATCTATGTTTCAAATTTTTTTCTATCTATTTATCGATAGAATATTGACTTTCTTGCCGCTAAAATTGTTTTTCTTTGCATATTCTTTTAATATTTATTTGGAATAAGTAATTTTAATAAACAAAAATGTTTTCTTGTCGCTAAATAGCCTTCTTGTCGCTTCTTGTCGCTTCTTGTCGCTAAATAGCCTTCTTGTCGCTTCTTGTCGCTTCTTGTCGCTAAAATTATTCTTCTTGTCGCTTCTTGACGCTTCTTGTCGCTAAAATTCTTCTTGTCGCTAATTAGTGAGACCGCCAATTTATGACAATGCGTTTGTCATGTGATCAAGTTGTCTTCTCTTTGTTTACAAGGCAGATGGTCTCCTTTGCTGTTCATCCTCACATGACATTAACACAATGTCTGTTGTCTCCGATGAAACCCCAATGATATATTCCCAATCACATGTAAAAAATGACTACTCGAAAGGAACAGGAGCGGTACTAAAACCTCCTTCAGGTGATCAAATCAGAAATTTACCCGTAGCGATCAGTTAAATATATAGCAATTCTGCAAGTGTTCTTAAGTTTGTGAAGTAACATATTATGCTGTGCAGTGGAGGATCCAGAAATTTTCATAAGTGGGGGCCCGGTCAAGTCGTGCTTCAGTGATTCCCTAAATAATCAACCATTTTTTCCCCTTTAAAAAAGGTGGCACCCCTAAATTACAGGCCTAAATCCACCTCTGCTTTGAACACTTCAAACAACAAACCAGTTGATAAAATTTATCATTTATTCCAACTGCTCTTTGAGTTACATGATTTTTACAGTTGCTGAAGTGACCAGTTGCTGATTTAATGTGTCCCTTTGAACTGCTCTGATGAATGACAGTCCTTGGAGACTAATTGCTGGAATGCAGGGTTGGGCAAGGAACTGATTAATTACGAATGTAACAATAATAATTTTGTCTACAGTTACATAGCGTTATTTTTACATTAATGCAATCCAATGTATACTGGGACTAGTAATATGTATTTAAATAAAACTTGAAAACTTATATTTGAATTTTACAACAATATTGCAAAATTTTTTATTTACAATGAGATTTCTACAAATCCAGTATGTTGTTTTGGGAGCATGTGTTAGTCCGACGCATTTTGAAGCCATCACAAATGAGTGATGCAGCAATGTGCATGTCTGTATTGCATACTGAACCGTGAGTGAATGCCATTCTGCACTACCCCTTTTTAAGTGTTAAAGAAGTTTTCAATGTCTTTCATGCTTCAGGTGAAAAATATTTTTTTACTCTTGCGATGTTTATATTCTTGTCCAATCTTTTTGTTGAGTGCATGTGAGGTTGTTTCATGTTGTCTTTTAATATGAGTTCATAATATCATCCATTACTGATTTTATTTCAACTCCAATTTCAATATCCAACTTAACATGCTTAACATACGGTAGATTAAAAAAAAACCAATGATAAACTTAATTTGATGGTAACAATTGCCGACAGATTTTGGGAAGAAACTGGTAGAAACAGTGTTTTCATTTTCAGAATCCCTATAATTTTGTTTTTATTGGCGAAAAAAAAAGATTAAGCAACAAAACTATAGAAGGTTAAAGCAGTGGTTTAAATATACTTTAAGCAAGTGAAGGTCCAGGACCTTTGACCAAAGATACTTACAGGTCCGCCTTTATTCTTAAAGGTCAAATTTTTATTGAAAATTCATTTTATAAAAATAGAAATTCCTTACCATAACAAAACAACCATCATATCTTACTACATTACCCTCAGTTTTTTTCAAATTCAGTCAGAAAAAGGCTTCCTCTTTTCCAACCACTATATGCTGTGTTAAATAACACTTTGTACCTTTATAATTGGTTTGGTTTCAATTGCTGCTTAAGAACACTGGCCTAACTTTGTGTCAGATAACTGCCCAACTTAGGGTCAGTTTCTTTTAACCACTTTTTTTGGCAAGATATATATATGCTGGTGGTTATTTTTCATCATGATTTTTATGGTGTCAAGTTTTTTTTGTACAATGAACCCAGGCACTTTCCCTTTCACTGTTTGTGGGGAAAATTTACGTTCTTGTTTTTTCCTGTCATATATTTGGTCTAAAGACAGATCCTGTCTTTCAGGCTGTGTAGGCCATTTCATCAATCACCCCCGTTGTATCCCCTGCTTCATCAGGTTTTCTTTAGAAGGGGTCACTCCAAACCCAAACAAACTCATACCGTTTACTGGTTATGTTTCAATATTACATTCTCGAGTTTCCCGGGATCTTGTACGACTACCTGTCACATTACTACACATCAATTCAATTGTGAAGAATGTAAGCAAATACATAAGTTTCCTTTCAATAAAAATGCATATTTCAAGATTTTTTTGATTTTATATATTTTTGTTCAACATGTTCAAAAAGCTTTTGTAACTTTTTAACCTGCAAAAATACGAAAGTCCGTCGGGTGTAACTAACTACCGGTGGGAAGGTCCGAACCCTTAAATGGAAGGTCACAGACCTCAGACCACCGCTAATTTGAAACCCTGTAAAGAATAAATCTAGTGTACATTGAAGTGCATTAATGTAACAATAACACAATGTAACCGTAGACACAAATATTATTGTGTCATTCGTAGTTAATCAGATCCCTACCCAACCCTTTATTCCGGCAATTAGTCTCCAATGTAACAATATTTTTTTTATTATTGTTACATTTCCATGTAACCGTCATGACCGTAGCCAGTGCCTATTCAAAAATACCCCAAAACATCAAAAAATATAAATTGTGATTATGATTATGATTATGATTAGCCATTAAACCTACCATTTCTAGTGAAAATATTTATTTTAACCATGTCATTGTAGAAGTATTAAATTAAGAGGAACTGCTGCAAACTGATTATAATGCGATGCTGCACAATCCTTTATTAAAGTTTATATTAAGTATCTGTATAAAGGTAGTTGGGGTGACTAAATGTTCAACATTAGATTTGTCTTATTCTTCTGTCAAAGACGTCTGGGTCAATGTATACGTTTAAATTTCAATATAAAAACTAGTGTTCAAGGACCTTGTTTTCCATTAACATTAAAATTAACGAAGTCACAGTTATTTGATATGGGTTATATAGTGGAAACTTAATTATTCCTTGTTGAGAAAACATTAAGTGATAGAATTGGATAGAATTGCTTTTCTAAATTTTTTCGGAAATGTCTTGAATAAAAATAGGAGGTCATAGGCATGATAGGGGGCCTGATTTAAATCTTCTTGAAAATTAAAAAAAAACACAAATTGTCCTAGCATGCCTATCAAATTCAGTATCTGCCCTTAATTTAACCAGACTTTTTCTGAAAGTCACATTTACACTTAATTTTTTGATAGTTTAATCTTTAAATTTGAAATTTAAGATGTTTCTGTTGTATATTGAATGATACTTGCTTAATATTTTCTATTAATAAATGCACATAATAATTTTTTGAATTTACAGTATACCATGTATACATGTAACAAAAAAATTATTATGTTTCACTGGGAAAACTTATAACGTTATCTTAATATTATCTTCTTTAATCCTATTCTGTTGTCATTTAATTCAGGGTGCTATGTAATTTATAATTTCAGGAGAATGTTTTGGAACCAGACATTTCCTTGCCTTTATGGCCTTTTTAGGATTTGTAAATGTCTACTGCTTGAGAGTCAACCTGAGTGTAGGATTGGTTGCCATGGTGAATGACACTGGTACAACTAAAAATACCAGTGATGAAGAAGCATGTGCAGGCCCTGATTCTGGTAAAAATACTACGGTCAAAGTGGTATGTATAAATCATGGTAAAAATTTTTAGTACAATGTATCAGTATAAAATGAGAGATAAGTAGGGCCAGATCAAGAGTTTAAGGAAATTGACCAAAAATATACTTGGGAGTCATGATCAGTGTAGTGAGGCAAATTATTTTATTGATGATTTTATGCAGATTTATTTTTTAATTAAACAGAAAGACATTTCTTATGTATGTGTATGTATTTATTTACCATAAGTAAAATGAGATTTTGGGTATACAGGAATAAGACAACAACAAAACAACATGAATAACCAATAGACATCTACAGGCAAAAACAGAACTTCAACAATAGACAGATTTCTTGATAAGATTTTTGTGAACATAATTTGTTGTTGAAATGAAAAACAGCTATGTTAACATGGTTAAGCTAACAATGTTTCCTTATGATTATACCTAATAGATATTAAACAATAACAAGTATATATCAATGTTGCATGCTGTGTGTTTTAATGTTATGTATATGTTATTCATATTTGGTAAAAAGCTCTCAAGAGCTTATGTTTGTATTTGTTATATGTGAACCGAATCAAAATAAGACTTTCGTATTCATATTCTTATTGGTCTAATTTGGTTAATTGATGTGCTAACTCACTTACAAACAAAATAAAGTTATCTTCGTGACTGAAACTGACAGTTTATTCAATAAAAAAACTCAGATAAAAAAATATAATTTGTTACTTATTTAGAAAAAAAATGCATTACAAGTTATCATGGTTATGTATTGATTAAATTGTCAATAACACTTGAAAGAAAATGGAATGAATGCCCTGTGTATAAAAAGTAGAAAAAAAGGATATAGAATAAGAAAGCACTTAACTCATGTACTACAGGTTGATTTGACATTATTTAGAAATGTCCATCTATACATTTATCGTCATCATTACTAAGAAATGTTGTAATCAATGCAGTCATTATACACTGTATCTAAATTCATGATCAGTTTATTTAATTTATTAAGCTCCGCCTAGGGCTTTGGGCTTTGGGCATTGTATTTTATTTTTTATATTTAATTCTTCAATCAAACTTGTTCTTTTTGTATTTTAGGGAGAATTTAACTGGGACCAAAACACACAAGGGATCATTCTTGGATCATTTTTCTATGGTTATATCTGTACACAGATTATAGGAGGAAAGATGGCGGAGATTATTGGTGGGAAGAGAATGTTTGGTTTTGGTGTACTATGTACCGCTGTACTGACAATGCTGACACCACTAGCTGCCCGAGCTGGACTCGGTTATTTTATAGCACTTAGGATTGTTGAAGGTATTGGGGAGGTGTGTAATTTTATCCATTAGGGCTATGGGCTGAGACATTGAAGACGAATAAAATGAGGGGGAAATTCACTTAAGCAGCCTTTACATGAGGGTATGAATGCACTTCAGCGTCAGGCATCAAACAGTCATATTGGGCTACCATTAGTGTCACATTGGTTAAAATTTTACCCTGATTCTTCAAAATATTCGTTAAGTGATTCATCAGAGGTCGCAAGTAATTATGTTTACCCTTATTTTTGAAAAAAAAACCAACCTGATTCATCAAAATTAGTTGATTTTTTCATCGTCTAAAAGGAAAAGTACATTTTATCTACATGCATCAAAAATTATCATTAATGTCATTTGGCAAGAATTTTTACTGTTATTCTTCATGAAGGTACCCCCATTACGACCCTCTTACATAAGGCGCGAAAAATTGTAAATTATACATCTGCATCAGTTTCTTTTCATATTTTGTTTCAATGAACAAAGTTAAAGACAAATTCATACAATTATGATTAGAAATTCATTAATTTCACCATGTTCACGATTTCAAAGTTAAAACAACATTCACATCAGATGTGAAGATGTCAGTTTAACTTAAAAATAGATTAATGTAAAAATTATTTATAAAAAGACAAGTCCTGGTTACGGCCAGAAACAATTTTATTTACAACCAAGTCATATAATTGGAACTGGGCATTCATTGACCAAAAAAAACAGCAGGATTTGATGGCCTGTTGGATGTTGTTTGTCTATTGAACTATGGAAGTGTAGTTATTATAAATAAGAAGATGTGGTATGACTGCCAATAAGACAACTCTCCATCCAAGTTACAATGTATAATAAGTTAACAATTATAGCAGCTGTTCCTTGGCTCTTTGTGTATTTTTTTGCTTTGCATGTACTGATTTTGTGTAATGGATGAATACCCCATATCCTTTGTTTTTCTATTATAGGTTAAATAACGTCCTTCACATGTTTTTTTAAAGCAAACAGCAGAATTTGTTTCTAGTAGTTATTTTATTTTTCAGGGTGTAACTTTCCCAGCTATGCATGCCATGTGGGGACAGTGGGCGCCTATCTGGGAGAGGAGTAAACTAGCAGGGTTTAGTTATGCTGGAGCACAGTTAGGAACAGTGATAGCCATGCCTTTATGTGGAATTCTAGCTGACTCTGATTTTCTTGGCGGATGGCCATCAGTGTTTTATGTTTTTGGTAAGTGAGTGAATGATTAGAGCATAGCAATTGGTACTGAAACATTGTAGCCAAGCTGGTAAGTTGGATTTTTTGAGGATTCAAATAAGCATTTTTCTAGTTTCCAGACAATAACTTGTGGAATGGTGTATGGATCTCTCTGAAATTATTCTACAGTAAAAATTGGCTTTGGGGAGTTATGGCTCAAACCTTTTAGGAATTAGGGCCAAAAAAGGGGAGGAAAACAAGGGTGTCCTGGTTAATAGACAATTACTTAAGTATAAAATATAATTTAAAAGCAGTGTAGGGGAAGTAATTCAAACACAACATTTTGAATTACCTCCCTAACACTGCTTTTCAATTATGTATAAAGAAATTTTGTATTGTCTTGAGGTGATTAGCTGTCAATTTATTTTTAGAAGTTACTATTTTAAATATGCTGATGAAGGTAATTTAATTTTAGCCATGATTATGTATGTCATTTTCTATTTTAAGACTTTTATGATGTATTTAAATGGGTTATTATGGTTACAAACTCCAGTGGAAATTTGAATTGAGATAATGACTATATCTTGAGGGAAAGAATCTTTTTGGGAAGTTTGCTATAGCAATACTTTCCTAAGTCCTCGGCCTCAAACTTTCAGGTGACAGTCTATCGCAAATGTTCTGCTCCAAGATAATGTAGTACTAGTATTTACAAACTAAATATTATTTTATATACATATAGGGGCCTTGGTGGCCGAGTGGTCTAAGTAGTTACTACTGTAATCACTAGCCAGTCAACACTGAGGTTGTGAGTTCGAACCCAGATCGTGCAGGTGCACTCGACTCCAATCTTAATTGACTAGGATTGTCAGTTTTCCTATCCAAGGTCGGTGGTTTTCTCCGGGCACTCCAGCTTCCTCCACCAATAAAAACTGGCCGCCACGAAATAGCCCAAAAGCGGTGCTTAAAAGTGGCGTTAAAACACCAAAAATCAAATCAAATCAAATATACATATACACATTCATGGATCTACAAACTGTCGATACCTGTATCTTGTCATTGCACAAGGTTTTTCTCTGACTGTTTATGACGTCTTTACACTAAATCCATTGTATGTTGGATGTGTATGGATTGATAATTTAGTCTTAGATGCATGATTTTTCTATTAGTTGTTAGTGGCTTTGAACTAGCTGTCAATAACTGCGAGTACTCTCAGATCTGTACTTAGTGTCTTTTTGTTGTTTGGATGTACAAGTACCCGGCCACGTCCACTGGTAATTGTAGTATTTGTATTTTTATCCATCTGATGAGCTAAGCCTCTTTCAACTGACGTTGTTCTGTTACACCACTATCCCAGGTTAGGGGGAGGGTTGGGATCCCGCTAACATGTTTAACCCCACCACATTCTGTATGTATGTGCCTGTCCCAAGTCAGGAGCCTGTAATTCAGTGGTTGTCGTTTGTTTATGTGTTCATATTTGTTTTTCATTCATTTTTATACGACCGCAAAAATTGAAAATTTTTTGGTCGTATATTGGTATGACGTTGGCGTCGTCGTCGTCGTCGTCGTCGTCGTCGTCGTCGTCGTTGTCGTCGTCGTCTGGCGTCGTCCGGCGTCGTCCGAAGACACATTGGTTTTCGCACTCTAACTTTAGTTTAAGTGAATGGATCTCCATGAAATTTTACCATAAGGTTCAATACCACGAAAGGAAGGTTGGGATTGATTTTGGGGGTTATGGTACCAACAGTTAAGGAATTAGGGGCCAAAAAGGGGCCAAAAATAAGCATTTTTGTAATTCCAGACAATAACTTGTGTGTAAGTGTATGGATCTCTCTGACATTGTACCACAAGGTTCCATATCACAAAGGGAAGGCTGTAATTGATTTTGGGGGTAATTGCCTCAAAATTTTAGGAATTAGGGGCCAAAAAAGGGGCAAAAAACAAGCATTTTTCTAGTTTCATGACAATAACTTGTGTGTAAGTGTTTGGATATTTCTGAAATTGTACTACAGGGTTCCATATCACAAAGGGAAAGCTGGAATTGAGTTTGGGGGTAATTGCCTGAAACGTTTAGGAATTGGGGGCCAAAAAGGGGCCAAAAATAAGCATTTTTCTAGTTTCCAGACAATAACTTGTGTTCAAGTGTATGGATCTCTCTGAAATTGTACTGCAAGGTACCATACCACAAAGGGAAGGCTGAGATTGAGTTTGGGGGTGATGAATCATAAGGGGGTTCAAAAAATTTGGGGGGGGGATTTTTTTTTTTTCGTTTTTTTTCTTTTTTTCCTTTTTTTTTCTTTTAAAATTTTCCATTTTAAGATTGGTTATTTCTGATTAATATTTAAAAGCAAATAATAATGATATGGTAGGAGTTACACACCAAACAGGATGTGTAAATTATTATATAATAAGTATTGTGCAATAGCAAGAAATTTTCAATTGCACAGTATTGCACAATTGCAAGAAATCTTCAATTGCACAGTATTGCGCAATAGCAAGAAATCTTCAATTGCACAGTATTGCGCAATAGCAAGAAATATCCAATGGCACAATATTGCGCAATAGCAAGAAATTGTCAATTGTACAGTATTGCACAATAGCAAGAAATATTCAATTGCACAGTATTGTGCAAAAGAAGATACTTCGTATAAATTGCTTATTTCTTGATCAATTTCAATGGGGTTTTATTCTTGAATTCTTGGGGTTCTTTAATATGCTGAATCTAACCGTGTATTAAGTTTTTGGATTTTGGGCCCCGTTTTTAAATTGGTCTACATTAAGGTCAAAAGGGTCCAAAATTAAACTTAGTTTGATTTTAACAAAAATTGAATTATTGGGGTTCTTTGATATGCCGAATCTAACCGTGTATTTAGATTCTTGATTATGGGCCCAGTTTTCAAGTTGGTCCAAATCGGGGTCCAAAATTAAACTTTGTTTGATTTCAACAAAAATTGAATATATGGGGTTCTTTGATATGCTGAATCTAACCATGTATTTAGATTTTTGATTTTTGGGCCCCGTTATCAACTTTGTCCACATTGAGGTCAAAAGGGTCCAAAATTAAACTTTGTTTGATTTCATCAAAAATTGAATTCTTGGGGTTCTTTGATATGCTGAATCTAACCATGTATTTAGATTTTTTATTTGTGGACCCGCTATCAAATTGGTTCATATTGAGGTCAAAAGGGTCCAAAATTAAACTTTGTTTGATTTCATCAAAAATTGAATTATTGGGGTTCTTTGATATGCCAAATCTAACCGTGTATTTAGATTTTTAATTATGGGTCCCGTTTTTAAATTGGTCTACATTAAGGTCCAAAGGGTCCAAAATTAAACTTAGTTTGATTTTAACAAAAGTTGAATTCTTGGGGTTCTTTGATATGCTGAATCTAAACATGTGTTTAGAATTTTGATTATGGGCCCAGTTTTCAAGTTGGTCCAAGTTGGGGTCCAAAATTAAACTTTGTTTGATTTCAACAAAAATTGAATATATGGGGTTCTTTGATATGCTGAATCTAAACATGTATTTAGATTTTAGATTTTTGGCCCAGTTTTCAAGTTGGTCCAAATTGGGGTCCAAAATGAAACTTTGTTTGATTTCAACAAAAATTGAATATATGGGGTTCTTTGATATGCTGAATCTTACCATGTATTTAGATTTTTTATTTGTGGGCCCGCTATCAAATTGGTTCATTTTGAGGTCAAAAGGGTCCAAAATTAAACTTTGTTTGATTTCATCAAAAATTTAATTATTGGGGTTCTTTGATATGCCAAATCTAACCGTGTATTTAGATTTTTAATTTTGGGTCCCGTTTTTTAAATTGGTCTACATTAAGGTCCAAAGGGTCCAAAATTAAACTTAGTTTGATTTTAACAAAAATTGAATTTTTGGGGTTCTTTGATATGCTGAATCTAAACATGTGTTTAGATTTTTGATTATGGGACCAGTTTTCAAGTTTGTCCAAGTTGGGGTCCATAATTAAACTTTGTTTGATTTCAACAAAAATTGAATATATGGGGTTCTTTGATATGCTGAATCTAAACATGTATTTAGATTTTTGATTTTTGGCCCAGTTTTCAAGTTGGTCCAAATTGGGGTCCAAAATTAAACTTTGTTTGATTTCAACAGAAATTGAATATATGGGGTTCTTTGATATGCTGAATCTTACCATGTATTTAGATTTTTTGTTTTGTAGGCCCGCTATCAAATTGGTTCATATTGAGGTCAAAAGGGTCCAAAATTAAACTTTGTTTGATTTCATCAAAAATTGAATTATTGGGGTTCTTTGATATGCCAAATCTAAACGTGTTTTAGATTTTTAATTTTGGGTCCCGTTTTTTAAATTGGTCTACATTAAGGTCCAAAGGGTCCAAAATTAAACTTAGTTTGATTTTAACAAAAATTGAATTCTTGGGGTACTTTGATATGCTGAATCTAAACATGTGTTTAGATTTTTGATTATGGGACCAGTTTTCAAGTTTGTCCAAGTTGGGGTCCAAAATTAAACTTTGTTTGATTTCAACAAAAATTGAATATATGGGGTTCTTTGATATGCTGAATCTAACCATGTATTTTGATTTTGGACATTGGACCATAATAGGTAAATTAAAAAAATTGAAGTTCTTAGACCACATTCTTTCTGTGTCAGAAACCTATGCTGTGTCAAATATTTAATCACAATCCAAATTCAGAGCTGTATCAAGCTTGAATGTTGTGTCCATACTTGCCCCAACTGTTCAGGGTTCGACCTCTGCGGTCGTATCAAGCTGCGCCCAGCGAAGCATTTTATTTGTACATAAATTAGGCCGTTAGTTTTCTTGTTTGAATTGTTTTACATTGTCATTTCGGGGCCTTTTATAACTGACTGTGCGGTATGGGCTTTGCTCATTGTTGAAGGCCGTACGGTGACCTATAGTTGTTAATTTCTGTGTCATTTGGTCTCTTGTGGGAAGTTGTCTCATTGACAATCATACCACATCTTCTTTTTTTATATTTGATTACTGATTCTAGGAAGATGCTTTTGAAATTTTGAGTCCTTTTGAAAAGATTACAGCTTGAATAAAAAAGGAATGAATGTTCACCGACAATTCAGGTGAATTTAACTTCATTTTGAAAATGAGTATCACAAACACTACGCGGATTTTCCATGCGCTGAAGAGAAAATCAAAAGAAATCTACGTGAGACATCGTTTAATTCATGAAAATTTCATGAATGAACATTTTCCTGCGCAATTTTTACTACGTACGATATTTACAAATGTTTATTATTAAATATAAAGTAAAAGCCCGAGTGTATCGAAAGAAAACCGTATGACTGACATTACTGAATGCAACATGTTTTATATGTTGACCAAGCCGTGGGATAATTGACAAGTGATAAAAGTTTGATTGAACAATTTAGACAAGTGACAGAAATACTCGATAATCATATGGCTTATGTCACACGCCAAGGATGAGTAAAGGTCAATACTGTCTATGATCGAAAAGTGCATGTTTTTGTCAAAACATCGATCAAAAGGTTTTGATGCCAGAAGCATTTGAAAACTTTTAAATTCTGCTATTCAAATACTAGCTGTTTCACATTCCAATGTGGATTTAAGGACCTTCACTCGTCCAGCATGCTCAGTCACATGGATCAAACTGACAGCTTAAAAACATTGACTCAACGACAGTTCATACATATCACAGCCTCCTCAGTGTTACAATTAACAATTACATTTGTACACAAATCGTTACAAGGATAAGGCAGACAAGTCAGCTTCTACTTAGAATAACTCAGTGTATCAAGACAAGTGCTGTAGCAATTATTTACATGATTAAATGAAATCTGTCCATGTAATAGCAAAATGACTTTCTTACTCTTAGTGCTAGTCCAAATAATTATGACGAACTAAAAATCTCAAATGTTATTGCCTCAATGCTAAATTTCACTGCATCAACTATAAAATGTGTTACAGGGTTTATAAGCACCTCTATGAATCTAGTGTATATAAACTTTTTATTCCTGTCGTCATACTGCTATTGTTATGTCCCCACCGTATTAAGTTTTACCCTTTTTCTTCTGTAAGTATGTACATCCCTTACTTGTACATACATCCGTACATCCCAAAATTGGTTTTTGTTCTCTAACTTTAGTTTTCCTAAACCAAATTGTATGAAACTTATACGCTATGCTTATTTCCACAAAACACAGGTCAAGTTGAATTTTGGTGGCGTCGATTTTACAATTCTAGAGTTATGCTCCTTAACAAATGGAAAAATTGCTTTAATTTTTTGTTTACGATCTCTAACTTTAGTTTGTCTCAACCAAATGTTATGTATCTTGTACACGATGCTCATTATCACAAAACATTGATTCAATTTGAGTTTTGGTGGCGTCAGTTTTACTGTTCTAGAGTTATGCCTCTTTAAAAATTTAAAAATTGCTGATTTTTGTCGAGCCGTTGACTTTTGTCGAAAAAGCAAGACATAGCGATCCTTCATTTCGTTGTCGGTGGCGGCGGCGGCCACAAATATTCACTCTGTGGTTGAAGTTTTTGAAATTTTAATAACTTTCTTAAACTATCCTGGATTTCTACCAAACTTGGACAGAAGCTTTACACACAATATTTTTAACAATGTTTAACCACAAAACCAAGACCAAGTTTGAATTTTGGTGCCGTCATTTTACTGTTATGATTAGGGTTATGCCCATGCCAGTTACAAATGGAAAAAAATACTATCAAATCACAGGCCCTCGATATGGCATGGACACATAAAGAAATTAACAGAGCTTATATTGTATATTTGATTATTTCAGATCTACAGTTTAAGGTTGCAATAGAAAATATCAAAATTTTATATGACAAACATATGAAAAAAGTGATTTTTGATAATTGCTGAAAAGAAAATGGTTTAGTTAAAAACATCAAAGCTGTGATTAGATACATATTTGAAATAATACACATCTATAACCTATTTTAATTAATAATACACATCTACAGTTGCAAACTTCCCAGAGGTGCTATTTTGGAGAAGGGGAGGGGTAAAAAAAATTGGGGGACAGGGACAATTTGTTCTCAAGATTTCAGAAATTAAAAAGAAAATTTCTTCAAATATTTATTTTTTTTTGGGGGGGGTGGGGGGGGGTCAATTCGCAACCACATAGTGTATTGCACAAAAGCAAAGAAATGAATATAAATTCAAATCACATAACCAATTCAAGTTCTTTGACTACAGTTATTCTGTGTCAGAAACCTATTATGTGTCAAATATTTAATTACATTCCAAATTCAGACCTGTATCAAGTGCAAGTATTGTGTCCATTTTTGCCCCAACTGTTCAGGGTTGGACCTCTGCGGTCATATCCAGCTGCGCTCGGCGAAGCAATCTATTTTTCAATATACATATATAAGATAGAGAAACTTTATCTTATAAATGATGCCAATTTAAATCTAGAAATGTTATAAGTCCATGGGAGATAAAAAACAAAAACCAAGCAATACAAAGAAGATAGGTGTATTCGCCTGTGTTGTTGTGTAGTTTAATACCACATGTATGATTGTAATTACAGGTGTATTAGGCTGCGTTTGGTTTGTAGTCTGATACACATGTATGATTGTAATTACAGGTGTATTAGGCTGTGTATGGTTTGTAGTCTGATACACTTGTATGATTGTAATTATAGGTGTATTAGGCTGCGTTTGGTTTGTAGTCTGATACACGTACATGTATGATTGTAATTACAGGTGTATTAGGCTGCGTTTGGTTTGTAGTCTGATACACATGTATGATTGTAATTACAGGTGTATTAGGCTGCGTTTGGTTTGTAGTCTGATACACATGTTTGATTGTAATTACAGGTGTATTAGGCTGTGTATGGTTTGTAGCATGGATGTTACTAGTACATGACACACCTGCAAAGCATCCTAGGATATCTAAAGTGGAGAGAGATTACATAGAGAAGTCTATAGGTGTCAAAGAGGTAGGTAGTTGTTCCTTGTATCAAAAGATTAGTAAATAATGACTTCTACATCAAGGTGAACTTCCTCAGGGGGTTTCCTCCCATCCTCTTGTTGTAGAGAAAAAATGCTGTGTATAAAAAATTTCATAAATGAAATTTTCTAGGCATTATTTTTTACTTGTTTATTATTGACAAATAAAAAACCATGTGTTACATATAGTCTTACATATTTTATTTTGAGCAGTCAATAATAAAAAACAAACCAAGAAACCAAATCGATATTTCTATCAAGTGATATCAATCAAATAGAAAGGCTACAAAGGTACTGTAAACACATTAGATTTTCAGATGGAAGATTGAAGATAAAACATTTCAGCCTATTAGATTTACAACACCATTTATGTTGATAAAAGACCTCCTGATCTGAGGTCTAAACTCCTAACCAAAATTTCACAGTCTCCTGATCTGAGTTTCACAGTCCATTCCATATGAAAATAAGGAGATGTGGTATGATTAACAATGAGACAACTATCCATGTAAGTTTAAATGAAGTTGATGTAAGAAATTATAGTTAACTGTACTGCCTTCAACAATGAGAAAAACCCATACCATATGGTTGGCATACATGTTTGTAAGGGCTGTTCTAATAATGGAATGTAGTTAGAAGGAAATGTTAAGTTTTGAATGTTGGTCTTATATGCATACTCCAGCAGAAGAGTATTGGTACAGAAATGTATATAAAGTTGTACGAGTTTTGTATCAATAGTTTCCGTATGATTTGTATTTGAAAACCAATGATGTTGGGAAATCTTTGTAGTAATATTTGAAAAAAATCTACTTTTCAATATATTTCTGTGCCAATTGAAAGGGAAGCTAAAAAAAGAGGATATGTAATATGTGGAAAGTCCAGGTGTCAATAATGAAAAGGATAAGTATACACCATTTTCAAAGCACACATCAAACATGTCAAATAATTTTAGCGCAGTTAATAAATAATGATTGTCAATTAATCAGAAATATTCTTTTACAGAGATTACCAACTCCATGGTTAGCCATTTTAACCTCTCCAGCAGTGTGGGCAGCCAGTGCAGCACATTTTGCCAATAACTGGGGATTTTATACCATGTTGACATGTCTACCTACTTATATGAAAGATGTACTCAAGTTTGATATCAAATCTGTAAGTTTGTGTACAAGTAGTATAAATGAAAGATAGGGAAAATACCAAGCAGTCAATCAATAACAATAAGTTGAAGAAAATGTTACAACACTGTGGCCAAAAGCTTAACCAACAAAACAACACAACAACAAAGCAACGTAATTAACAAAACAACAATCTTAAAAGAACTACACAGAAAACTAAAGATTGAGACAAAAAAACCTACCAAAAATTCAGGTGCTCAGGAAGGGCAATAAATTCCTGCACCACTTGTGACATATTGCTCCTTTTTAAAAAAATTGTTGAGATCATATCTGGTGATAAGGTATTATACAATAGAAAAGTCAATGAATCAGAAGCCAAACAATACAACAAAAGCGCTGAAGATATGGTCTGCAATTTGCCATTTCAGATTTTGAAACAGTAAAATGTTGACATAAATATTCTGTAATATTCCAAGCTCAAACTTGAACCATGCATTTAGGACAAGAAGCTAAAGAATACTAAAAAGATCTGTCAACAATCCCAAATTTCTTTCTCAAGAAAAACTGAAAATGATTAACTGGAAATAATTAATTGTTTGAGCATACACCTTAAGATGTTTAAGAGGCAACAGTAGTTTACCTATACATGTAGTCTCATAGATTATTTTAGAGTGTACAAATTAATTTAAAATGGTGGTTTTCATATGTTTTCTTGTTTCCCCAAACATCAAATTCAATAATTGTTGTGGTATTTTTTTAGCAAAACAAAACTATAAAGCATATAATGTCAGCCAATTCTCAATACTATAAATTCAGAATTATTGTGTGCATTTATCATGTTTATTGTTGCGATTTTTCAAGTATGGTTTTGTATCAGCCTTGCCTTAAGCTTGTTTGTTTTATTCATTAATAGGATGGTTTTGTATCAGCCTTGCCTTACCTTGTATGTTGGATGAGTATGAATATATCATGTAATTTAGCAGATTTTATCAGGGGTAGAGGATATCTGTCTACTCTTAATACTAGACGAGTTATAAACTCATTTGGTGAGTATAATTTTATGAATGAGATAGAAACTTATGTCACATGTACAGGAGCAGAAAATAAATCCAGAGATCACCATTTTTTACTGTAAATGTTCTCCATGATAATAAAGGTATCTATGTTTGGTTTGGCAATTAAATTCAGGCCATGCCAAATCAATACTTGTTTTGTTGGATTTCTTGCGTGTGCAAAAAGGTCACACTAAAACATTTTTATTCTTAAAATCTGCATTGAGTGCCAGTCCATCCAAATCAGGAATCCAAATTTACACTACAAAAAATTAATGTCAGGCTTATGCTTGAAATAATATCATTTATTAAAAGCAAAGTTTTCATTTTTGGTTGGTGATGTTTCTTTTCACCTCTTTTTGTTAACTTTGTCCATGTCTCTGGTGATGTTTTATATTTCAATGACCTTAATCAATGTACATAGTATAACAGATTAATTGGGATTTTGTTATTAAAAATTACTTAATTCTTTCAAAAATACAACATCTAGTTCTGAAATTTGGCGGTACATGTAGAAATCTCAACACAAACAATATCACATTCAAAGTTTATGGTGTTTATATAGAGCTATCATTATCTACTTTGGTGACATTTCTATTAATGCATATGTATAATAATACATATTTTTGTCTATTAGATATTCCATCACCAGCATGGGTACTCTGAAGTCGAACTACTGTATCACTAGCCTGTCAGCTAGTTTGTGAGTTCAAATCCTGCAAATTGCAGGTGCACTTGACTCCAATCTTAATTGACTAGGATTGTCAATTTTACTATCAAAACTTTGTAGTTCTCATTTGGCATTCTTGCTTCCTCCAACAATAAAAACTGATCGCCACAAAATAGCACAGTTAGGGCTGAAAGTGGCGTTAAACATCAATTTATCTATCAGTTTTACCAACATTGCAGTATAAATGTAACATCACGTCGCCAACACAAAAGGTGAATCATTCTAATATTGTATGCTTACCACAGGGCTATAAAAAAATCACTGGGGAGAACACTGTAGTCCCCTGAAAATTTTATTCTTAAAGTTTATTGATTTAACATTGTTGAAAGATATTTGAACTTTGAATGTGGTTTTTGTCGAGCCTGCGACTTTTGTCGCAGAAAGCTCGACATAGGGATAGTGATCCGGCGGTGGCAGCGTTAGCTAACTTCTTAAAAGCTTTATATTTTAGAAGGTGGAAGATCTTGATACTTAATACTTTGTATATGGATGCCTCATGTTACGAAGTTTCCGTCAGTCTCATGTCCAATGGCCTTGACCTCATTTTCATGGTTCAGTGACTACTTAAAAAAAAAGATAAGATTTTTTGAAATGTTAAATTCTCTCTTATTATAAGTAATAGGATAACTATATTTGGTATGTGCGTACCTTGCAAAGTCCTCGTGCCTGTCAGACAGTTTTCACTTGACCTCGACCTTATTTCATGGATCAGTGAACAAGGTTAAGTTTTGGTGGTCAAGTCCATATCTCAGATACTATAAGCAATAGGTCTAGTATATTCGGGTATGGAAGGACTGTAAGGTGTACATGTCCAACTGGCAGGTGTCATCTGACCTTGACCTCATTTTCATGGTTCAGTGGTTATAGTTAAGTTTTTGTGTTTTGGTCTGTTTTTCTTATACTGTATGCAATAGGTCTACTATATTTGGTGTATGGAATGATTGTAAGGTGTACATGTCTAGCTGGCAGGTGTCATCTGACCTTGACCTCATTTTCATGGTTCAGTGGTCAAAGTTAAGTTTTTGAGTTTTGGTCTTTTTTCTAATACTATATGCAATAGTTCAACTATATTTGGTGAAAGGAAATATTTTATGATCTATATGTCAGTCACACAGGTTTTATTTGACCTTGACCTCATTTTCAAGGTTCATTGCTCAGTGTTAATTTTTTGTGTTTTGGTCTGTTTTTCTTAAACTATAAGCAATAGGTCAACTATATTTGTTGTATTGAAGAATTGTTAGCTGAACATGCCTGCATAGCATGGTTCATCTGACCTTGACCTCATTTTCATGGTTCATTGGTCAATGTTTAGTTTACTTGGTTAATGTTAAGTTTATGTGACTGTTGTAATAAAGCTTTATGTTTAGGACTATCAACATAATATCAATGATTAGTAAAGAAGGCGAGACATTTCAGCGTGTGCACTCTTGTATTTCTAACATGAATTTTTTTTTTTTTTTTTTATTCATAACTCATAATTACACTTATGGTTCTACATCCAGTTGATATTTATATTTCTGCTATGCAAAAGCTTGTGTTTCTCAGGTTCCCTAACTCCAGCAATAGCTAGGAATGTCATGTTTTTTTCCAGGTCTCCTAGCACAACTAACTGTAAATTCAGAAATTACTGGGTGTTTTATTTATTGCGATTTTTGAGAAATTGACAGTAATGCCAAATTAATTGATATGATTTCAGGAAAATCTGCATACAGATATATGTGTTAGATATCAGAATGCCAGTTTTTATACGACCGCAAAAATTAAAAATTTTTTGGTCGTATATTGGTATGACGTTGGCGTCGTCGTCGTCGTCGTCGTCGTCCGGCGTCGTCCGAAGACACATTGGTTTTCGCACTCTAACTTTAGTTTAAGTTAATGGATCTCCATGAAATTTTACCATAAGGTTCAATACCACGAAAGGAAGGTTGGGATTGATTTTGGGGGTTATGGTACCAACAGTTAAGGAATTAGGGGCCAAAAAGGGGCCAAAAATAAGCATTTTTGTAACTTCCAGACAATAACTAGTGTGTTAGTGTATGGATCTCTCTGACATTGTACCACAAGGTCCCATATCACATAGGGAAGGCTGTAATTGATTTTGGGGGTAATTGCCTCAAAATTTTAGGAATTAGGGGCCAAAAAAGGGGCAGAAAACAAGCATTTTTCTAGTTTCATGACAATTACTTGTGTGTAAGTGTTTGGATATTTCTTAAATTGTACTACAAGGTTCCATATCACAAAGGGAAAGCTGGAATTGAGTTTGGGGGTAATTGCCCGAAACGTTTAGGAATTGGGGGCCAAAAAGGGGCCAAAAATAAGCATTTTTCTAGTTTCCAGACAATAACTTGTGTTCAATTGTATGGATCTCTCTGAAATTGTACTGCAAGATACCATACCACAAAGGGAAGGCTGGGATTGAGTTTGGGGGTGATGAATCATAAGGGGGTTCAAAAAATTTGGGGGGGGGGGGGTTTTCTTTTTTTTTCTTTTTTTCCTTTTTTTTTTCTTTTAAAATTTTCCATTTTAAGTTGGTTATTTCTGATTTATATTTAAAAGCAAATAATAATGATATGGTAGGAAATACACACCAAACAGGATGTGTAAATTATTATACAATAAGTATTGTGCAATAGCAAGAAATTTTCAATTGCACAGTATTGCACAATAGCAAGAAATCTTCAATTGCACAGTATTGCGCAATAGCAAGAAATCTTCAATTGCACAGTATTGCGCAATAGCAAGAAATATCCAATAGCACAATATTGCGCAATAGCAAGAAATTGTCAATTGTACAGTATTGCGCAATAGCAAGAAATATTCAATTGCACAGTATTGTGCAAAAGAATATACTTTGTATAAATTGCTTATTTCTTGATCAATTTCAATGGGGTTTTATTCTTGAATTCTTGGGGTTCTTTAATATGCTGAATCTAACCATGTATTAAGTTTTTGGATTTTGGGCCCTGTTTTTAAATTGGTCCACATTGAGGTCCAAAGGGTCCAAAATTTAACTTTGTTTGATTTCATCAAAAATTGAATTATTGGGGTTCTGTGATATGCCGAATCTAACCGTGTATTTAGATTCTTAATTTTTGGTTCCGTTTTCAAATTGGTCTACATAAAGGTCCAAAGGGTCCAAAATTAAACTTAGTTTGATTTCAACAAAAATTGAATATATGGGGTTCTTTGATATGCTGAATCTAACCATGTATTTAGATTTTTGATTATGGGCCCAGTTTTCAAGTTGGTCCAAATCGGGGTCCAAAATTAAACTTTATTTGATTTCAACAAAAATTGAATATATGGGGTTCTTTGATATGCTGAATCTAACCATGTATTTAGATTTTTGATTATGGGCCCAGTTTTCAAGTTGGTCCAAATCGGGGTCCAAAATTTAACTTTGTTTGATTTCAACAAAAATTGAATATATGGGGTTCTTTCATATGCTGAATATAACCGTGTATTAAGTTTTTGGATTTTGGGCCCCGTTTTTAAATTGGTCCACATTGAGGTCCAAAGGGTCCAAAATTTAACTTTGTTTGATTTCATCAAAAATTGAATTATTGGGGTTCTTTGATATGCCGAATCTAACCGTGTATTTAGATTCTTAATTTTTGGTTCCGTTTTCAAATTGGTCTTCATAAAGGTCCAAAGGGTCCAAAATTAAACTTAGTTTGTTTTTAACAAAAATTGAATTTTTAGGGTTCTTTGATATGCTGAATCTAAACATGTGTTTAGATTTTTGATTATGGGCCCAGTTTTCAAGTTGGTCCAAATCTGGGTTCAAAATTAAACTTTGTTTGATTTCAACAAAAATTGAATATATGGGGTTCTTTGATATGCTGAATCTAACCATGTATTTAGATTTTTGATTTTTGGGCCCCGTTATCAACTTTGTCCACATTGAGATCAAAAGGGTCCAAAATTAAACTTTGTTTGATTTCATTAAAAATTGAATTCTTGGGGTTCTTTGATATGCTGAATCTAACCATGTATTTAGATTTTGGATATTGGACCATAATAGGTGAATGTCCAATTTAAAATTTTTAAGTTCTTAGACCACATTCATTCTCTGTCAGAAACCTATGCTGTGTCAAATATTTAATCACAATCCAAATTCAGAGCTATATCAAGCTTGAATGTTGTGTCCATACTTGCCCCAACTGTTCAGGGTTCGACCTCTGCGGTCGTATCAAGCTGCGCCCTGCGGAGCATTTTATTATTACATGTATTGCTATACTCACCCAGTCGCATAATTGGCATTAATAAACACCTTCCAATAATTTCTGAGTTTACAGTATACTGATATCATGTTTTATTTTTATATTTTGTATTTTTCAGGTCTCCTAGCTCCAGCTATACTGATGTCATGTTTTATTTTTCAGGTCTCCTAGCTACAGCTATACTAATCTCATGTTTTATTTTATAGGTCTCCTAGCTCCAGCTATACTGATGTCATGTTTTATTTTATAGGTCTCCTAGCTCCAGCTATACTGATGTCATGTTTTATTTTCCAGGTCTCCTAGCTCCAGCTATACTAATGTCATGTTATACTTTATAGGTCTCCTAGCTTCAGCTATACTGATTTCATGTTTTATTTTTATATTTTTATTTTCCAGGTCTCCTAGCTCCAGCTTTACTGATTTCATGTTGTATTTTTATATTTTTATTTTTCAGGTCTCCTAGCTCCAGCTATACTAATGTCATGTTTTATTTTCCAGGTCTCGTAGCTCCAGTATACTAAAATCATGTTTTATTTTATAGGTCTCCTAGCTCCAGCTGTACTGATTTCATGTTTTATTTTTATATTTTTATTTTTCAGGTATCCTAGCTCCAGCTATACTAATGTCATGTTTTATTTTCCATGTCTCCTAGCTCCAGCTACACTAATCATGCTTATGTCATGTTTTATTTTTCAGGTATCATAGCTCCAGCTATACTAATGTCATGTTTTATTTTCCATGTCTCCTAGCTCCAGCTATACTAATGTAATGTTTTATTTTCCAGGTCTCCTAGCTCCAGCTATACTAATCATGCTAATGTCATGTTTTATTTTCCAGGTCTCCTAGCTTTAGCTATACTAATCATGCTTATGTCATGTTTTATTTTTCAGGTCTCCTTGCTCAAGCTATACTGATATCATGTATAGGATTCATGGACTGTTATATTTTATTTTTTAGCTCACCTGGCCCAAAGGGCCAAGTGAGCTTTTCCCATCACTTGGCGTCTGTCGTCCGTCGTCGTCTGTTGTCCGTTAACTTTTACAAAAATCTTCTCCTCTGCAACTACTTGGCCAAATTTTACCAAACTTAGCCACAATCATCATTTGGGTATCTAGTTTAAAAAATGTGTCCGGTGACCCGGCCAAATAACCAAGATGGCCGCCATGGCTAAAAATAGAACATAGGGGTAAAATGTAGATTTTGGCTTATATCTCTGAAACCAAAGCATTTAGAGCAAATCTGACATGGGTAAAATTGTTAATCTGGTCAAGATCTATCTGCCCTGAAATTTTCAGATGAATCAGACAACCCGTTGTTGGGTTGCTGCCCTGAATTGGTAATTTTAAGGAAATTTTGCCGTTTTTGGTTATTAACTTGAATATTATTATAGATAGAGATAAACTGTAAACAGCAATAATGTTCAGCAAAGTAAGATCTACAAATAAGTCAACTTGACCAACATGGTCAGTTGACCCATTAAGGAGTTTTTGCCCTTTGTAGTCAATTTTTAACCATTTTTCGTAAATTTTTGTAATCTTTTACAAAAATCTTCTCCTCTGAAACTACTAGGACAAATTTAACCAAACTTGTTCACAATCATCATTAGGGTATCTAGTTTAAAAAATGTGTCCGATGACCCTGCCTGTGAACCAAGATGGCCGACATGGCTAAAAAATAGTACATAGGGTAAAAGGCAGTTTTTGGATCATATCTCTGAAAGCAAAGCATTTAGAGCAAATCTGATGAGGATAAAATGATCATTAGGTCAAGATCTACCTGCCCTGAAATTTTCAGACTAATCAAGCAACATGTTGTTGGGTTGCTGCCCCTGAATTGGTAATTTTTTAGAAAATTTTGCAGCTTTTGGTTATTATCTTGAATATTATTATAGATAGAGATAAACTGTTAACAGCAATAATGTACAGCAAAGTAAGATCTACAAATAAGTCAACATCACCAAAATTGTCAATTGACCCCTTAAGAAGTTATTGCCCTTTATAGTCAATTTTTTACAATTTTCATAAATTTTGTAAATTTTTGTAAATTTTTACAAAATATTTTCCACTGTAACTACTGGGCCAAGTTCATTATAGATAGAGATAATTGTAAGCAGCAAGAATGTTCAGTAAAGTAAGATCTACAAACACATCACCATCACCAAAACACAATTTTGTCATGAATCCATCTGTGTCCTTTGTTTAATATGCACATAGACCAAGGTGAGCGACACAGGCTCTTTAGAGCCTCTAGTTTATTTTCCAGGTCTCTTAGCTCCAGCTATACTGAAGTCATGTAAAGGACTACTGGTCTGTTGTATTTGACCTTTTTATTTTCGAGGTCTCCTAGCTACAGCTATACTGATGTCATGTTTTATTTTCCAGGTCTCCTAGCTCCAACTATACTGATGTCATGTTTTATTTTCCAGGTCTCCTAGCTCCAGCTATACTAATGTCATGTTTTATTTTCCAGGTCTCCTAGCTCCAGCTATACTAATGTCATGTATAGGACTAGTAGGTTGTAATTATGTGGTTGTAGTTGTTATGCTGACCTTTGCTGTAGGATTAGGAGGATTCTGTATGGGAGGTTTTAATGTCAACCATTTAGATCTAGCTCCTAATTTCTCAGGTAAGATTAGAATAAAGAACACATTTCCACCTCTTATGAGACCCCAGGATAAAGATTGCACAAAATGACCTTTTTTTGGTGTTTATCCATTAGTGTCATCTATTCAAATATCTGACACTAAAGACGACTGAAGGGAATAACTGTTACAGAAATTTTATCTGTTTATGTAATAGTGTTCCTTCACTGAAATGCCTCTTAAACCGTATTGACTTTGGACTTGGCTTTCAGTGTTGTAGTGTCTATATATTATTTTAAAACATTTTTGATGTTAGGTTGCTGCTTTGTAGCTAAATAATGGTGTGGTGAACCTTCATATGAAAATACCTGAGCATGTTTAATAATTTCTGTTATTTATTTTTCAGGTACATTAATGGGCATTACCAATATGATAGCTACTATACCTGGGTTTCTTGGACCTTATGTTGTAGGAGTTTTAACCAATAATCAGGTAATTTTGATGTATGATTAGTTCATCATTACACTTTGCTCAAAAGGGTCATTGCAAAAAGTGACCATGTGGTCCATTTAAGAAACAAAAAAATGTAACAGAAAAAAAGTACTGAAATCTATTTTTTTTTACTAATTGTACTTTCTTTTTTGTTTTGGGGATTAAATATATACAATCGAACAGTATAATGGCTATGATTAATATAGCCTACAAACTGTAAGATTGTGAGGGTTGGTATGTCATGCTTAAAAATTACTGCATTATTATTTTTATTAATCTTAAATCCTCATGCAAATAAAATTCACTTTTTTTCATGAGTAAATGCATGTGAAAAAAAAAGCACAGTGCCAATTGGTTACAAAAGAAATTCAACCTTTAATTTAACCTCATCTTACGAAATACAAGGAAGTGTTCAACAATATTTCAATTTAGTGAAGTTATTTAAATTATATTTTTAACTGTGCTGGATGCAAATTTCTTTATCACATTCATTAGTAACATTCAATGCCCGGAATATAATTTTTTTCTCATTTGAATAGTAGACAACACTGAATACTCAGTTGAAACAATAAAAAACTCACATAAAGCTTATGTAATATTTTTGGTACCGTAGTCAACAAATTCTCCAATTTCAGGAAACAAGAGGCCAATGGCAGAAAGTATTTTATATATCGGCAGGAGTTTATGTAGCTGGTACTGTTATATTTTTGTTATTTGCCAGAGGAACAGAACAGTCATGGAACAAGGCAAATGGAGGCTTGTCTTTCCGTAATAACAGAAATGTTTCATATTCGGTGCTAGAAGGAGACAATACAGCTAATGGTGCTATAGTAAATCGATGAAATTTATTTTTTAACAATTTGTATAATGCCATGCATACAATAGTTTATTTGCCAATTCAGTAATTTACACTGTAATTAGTGATCCATTTGTAAGAGTTGTTTCCCTTAGAAGAGACATAAGTTATCATTACCATTAAAAAGCAAGCAGAAAAAGCAAATTTATCTGTTCGTAATGTTTATAATCTCTAACTTTTTCAAATCTTTTAATTACATTTAAATTTTTTGCTACTCTAAAACATTTGATATCAATTATAGTTATTTTTCAATAAAAATTGGTCAAAACGCATGTATCAGTTTCAACTTAGCAAGCTTTGCATGGACAACCAGTCTAGAAATTGTCTTCATTTAGCAAGGGAAACAACTTATGTTGAAAGTGTGCTATAACATTATAAAATTGGTAATTGCCAAATAGACTGTTTTGTTGTTGTTTAGTTAAGGTTATATTTGAGATTTTAGTTTTTATTTTATTTTTGTAAAGTAACATGTTAACTTGAAATATATGTTTTTGACAATTTACTATTACAATCTGAATATATAAACCAGTACATTTGCTAAAAATTTATAACTGTTTTGAACTAGTACTGTTATCAACTGGTTAATGTTAACCAACTTATTTTCGTGAGCAATATGTTTATGAAACTTATGAAAATTAAGCAAATACAAGTTGTTTTGATATGATAAACTTGAATCTTCTCTCTTACCAATCTATCAGCAAAATTGAAAAATCATGAAATCATTGTAAACACATGTATCTTAGAAAAAAAAGTTGGTAAACAGTAATCTAGCTATTATGTTGTATTAAGGTTATACACAGTTAAAACCTAACTACCTGTTAAAAGTATATCCAAAGGTCTGATTGTAGAAATTTTTTTTTGGCTTTGTTTCATTGGGGCATTCACACACATGTATTAATATTTATATCAGAGATTAACCACATATTATTAAGTCTTATCAGTTACGGCATTATTGTAGGATTTTATTGAAAAATGGTGTTGTTCATATCATTTTAACTATTTAAATATTGCCAAAGCAACACCCTAAATAGGTTTTAGATAATTAAAAAGTAGACTTCCTTTGTAAATTTCTTTTCGGGCAAGGGTTGGTTTTTATACTAATTCTCTGCATGTATGCATAAAGCCCTTGAATATTTTATAATATTTATTTTACCAAATTTTCTGTCCTTTTATAGCTGTATATTCTGTGACGAGGACATTCTTTAGAAAAAAAAAACATTAGAAGTACAGTTATGTAACATCTAACTCATTGGAAACAACATTACTAAGTTGCAAAATCCATTTGTCCTTTTGAAAAATAAATTATATTTATAATAACATATCATTCTGAAAATGTAATGAATTTTGAAATCATTTGATTTTAGGACAAATTCAGTAGCAAATAATACCTCCGCCTTTATATTTTTATGAACATTTGATATTTAAAGTTAGAATAGTTAACATAAATTTGACAAAAGTTAATAATTACATTTACATGAATGTTCCAACATAAATTTGACAAAAGTTAATAATTACATTTACATGTATGTTCCGTAAAAATCAGTAGTTTTGATTGGCTGACACCAACCCCTAGGTACTCCCATGTCAAATTTTATTTTCATATAAAATACAACAGCTATGACTGCACATGCTATCCATGACAATGTTAAGTCAATGCTTAGAAAAACAAATGAAAAGTTTGATATAACTCTTAATATTATAGTTGTACCATAAATAATAATTCAATGCTTCTTTTTATAATTTTATAAGGTTGTAAAAGTGTTAATCAAGCGCACATTTTTCATATGAAGTGCCCTTCATACAAAATGTGCTTTGATCCAAGCTTTTACACCCCAATAAAATTATAAAGAGACGCATTCAATTCTTATATATAATTTACTTTAATTGTGTGTTTCTTGCACTGTAGAAGATACTTGAATAATTTAAAATTAATGTCATAATTTGCTGTTCAACCAATTGCTCATACCTGACCCCAGATACTAGGCGATAATCTTATTTGACGTTTACTTCACAAAATGAGGGATTATGACATTGCTTTTCTAGGTCAGTTCATATTGTGTTTTATGTAATGGTTAAAATGTCTTGCCAATGTGATATTATACTACAACTATAGTACAGTTTTAGACAGTTTTCTGAAACTAAATGTAAATAAATTTTTGAAATTTGTAAAGGTTTAGGACTGATCTCAATAGGATAAAACTGACCTGGTTAAATAGGATTAAATGAAATAAAACAAGGGAGTAATTAGTTTATTTAATACAATGTTCTTGTACACAACAGCTCAGCTGGGTTTAGTTTTTTCAACCAGTTCCATCCTGGGTGTCAAACCCATACACGGTGACAAGCCCACCCACACCTTATCATGTTTGTATTTCTGTGTTTTTTATGTGTGAACTAAGGTTCCAACTCCCTAAGACAAAGTTGACCTTAGTAGGATTTGGTTATGCTTTTTGGCCCCTTTTGATCATATACTGTAAATCAGAAATTATTGCATGCATTTATTATTTTGGTTTGTTAACAAAGGGCAAAAATGCGAGATTAACTTTTGCAATTTTGGGAATTACTGCATTGAATTTATATTATCGAAATTTAAAACATGAGTTTTTTAATTTTTGCAAATCCTACCCCATCCCAATTTAAGCCATTATAGAAACATAGCAAAAATTTCTGGTTGTTATATGTCCTTGATTTCAAGTGTTCCTGATGAAGACAAATCCAGAAAAGCGCTTAAGACGTAACAATTTGATATATTGTTATATTCGTTTCTCTCCAGTATTTTTAAATTGCTTCCCTAAAACTATAGCTTATCATTTATAATAGATACCACCGTGGTAAAAATACAATACTAGAATGCCATACTGCTACATGTACAAGGCCCTAGAGAGAACAAATAAAATTGAGAATGGAAATGGGGAATGTGTCAAAGAGACAACCCGACCAAAGAGTGTTTATTTTCAATCTTTCACTTTCATTTTGTAGAAATGTTAAATGCACATGCTTATATTTTTATTTCAATAGGTTTTATGATAAAAAGTATCAGCAAATCCACTGCATATGGTGGGCAGAGTGGACTATTTTATTTTTTGGAGAAAAAAACAAAATCTAACTGAACTGTAGTAATGACCTTTTATAACATTTGTAACAGTTTGGCCTACCATGTCATACAAACTTGTAACTTTAGAAAAGGTTAAAGTAAACAAAACCAGCAAGATTTTGTTTAACAAAAACTTAAATAGGTTTCCTTGCTTGGTTAGTGCTATTACAAATAGTGTTGTATTCTTTATGTACCCAGGTATTATAACTAATTTATTTTTGTATGAATAATCTGATTCTTCAGGGAGCAGTGTTCATTTTTGATTTGTCCAAACTTATTAAAATAGAATTGGCCATTTCAGAATCTTAAGAATCTTGGGTAATGACATGATTAGTACAACAAAGTGAAAATAAAGTTACATTAATGGACGAATTTCTAGCGTTCAAATTACTATCATATTATTACAACGTTTTGGGGTAAACATTAGAGAAATGACCTCAAGACCTTAGATTGTGAAACTGCCAATTTTAGATAATTTAGATTATAAAAATTACTTTGAATAATACATATAGATATACATGCTTGATTCTTGTTTCAGGTTAAATTTGTATTCCTAATTGTTAGATATTTTTGTTCAAAGTATGTGCAATATATAAGATGACAAAACTACCTGTGATAATTTATATTTTCAATATAGAATTAAAAAATTTCATTATGTTGTTTAAGTGTTTCATTAGTACAGAAAACAGCCTTTGACCAGACAGAAGGTTAAGAAACTTCTGAGATTCGCTTTGGAATGAATTAAACATTCACGTAATAGGTAACAGTAGTATACTTTTGTGTTAGAATCATACCCTTGTTCGTGGAGTCTTTATAATGTAAATAGACATGTGTATAATGTATCAAATGAGATATAAAAACGCTATATGATGGGCAGATAATAAGTTACTATTGAGAAATGGGAAGTTGACAATAGAACTAAAATCATTACGTTTATCGTATATTCTTGTTTGTATGAGTGAGTTAAAAAACAAAAATAAAGCAATATTACCTTTTACTGACATATTATGAAAAAAGACATTGATAAAAAAAGCATCCTCATCGGTTGTGATTGATTGAATGATTATTGGTGTGTATCATTACTTTCAGCAGCACACTTTGCTATATTGTGGCGGCCAGTTTTTGATATGGAGAAAGCCAGAGAGAACGGTCAACTTACCTTCAGCAGGAAAACTGGCAATCCATGGTCCATTATAGATAGGAGTCGAACGCACCTTCCCAAATCGAGGTTTGAACTCACATCCTCAGTGTTGACAGATTAGTGATCCTGTAGCTAAACTACTTATACCACTTGGCCACCGAGGCTCCTGTCATTGGCTTTGTGTATTTGCAAAGCGAAGTTGCCCTAAATAAAAATTAAATTAATTTCCAAAGCGTTTTTTAGGGTTTGTGTAGATCTTCATCAGAAACACTCAAATCCAAACATTTTAAAACCAAGGATGTATAAGACCCAAACACTTGAAAGAGCTATATGACCAAAAGGGACATAAATCCTTCTAGATCTCATATATACAAACGAATTCGTTCACCGATACGATGTGGCTGTGTCTCAAGTAGCGTTTTCGCGTTTATACATCTTAAGATACCGTAACTGTCGAGACTGTTTTGTAAATTTATGGATTGTGTCCAATTCCCTATCGTAACATTATGACTAAGTCTGGATTCACATGTTCCTTGATGCGTGTTTAGGAGGTAACGCTTACCGTGTCTCTTGTTTTGAGTTCATATGTAAACACCATTTACTTATTACTGACAAATGGGAGTGTCAAAAATTCATGTCTATGAAATGGCAAGCAAACAATGCAATGGAAACAGAAAAGATACGAAGAAGTTAATCTCAAGCCAATAAACAAAGCTACAACTTCTGACACAAACAAAGTAAAAATAAAAATACCAAACTCCAAGGCTGATTCAAAAAGGGAGAAACCCATAAAATCAGACAAAATCAAACGTAAGACAACAAAACGAATAGAACAAGAATATTGGAAGTTGATCAAGTTATTATTTTGAGGTCTCAACCTTATTTGGTAACTTGCGAGAAAGTATGATACATTATTACATATAGAAAGAGAGGCGTCACATGCTTAATATTCAAACTCATAAGTCGATGAAAAACTGACAACGCAATGGCAAAAAAAAGAAAAAAATGGCCAAATAGTTATCAAAGGTACCAGGCTTATAATTTAATACGCCAGACGCGCGTTTCGTCTACACAAGACTCATCAGTGACGCTCAGATCAAAATAGGTATAAAGCCAAACAAGTACAAAGTTGAAGAATATTGAGGACCCAAAGTTCCAAAAAGTTGTGCCAAATTCGGCTAAGGTAATCTATGCCTGGGATAAGAAAACCCTTAGTATTTCAATAAAATCATACTTTTGTAAACAGGAAATTTATAAAATGACCATATAATAGATATTCATGCCAACACCGAAGTGCTGACTACTGGGCTGGTGATACCCTCGGGGACGAAACGTCCACCAGCAGTGGCATCGACCCATTGGTGTAAATAGTTATCAAAAGTACCAGGCTTATAATTTAATACGCCAGACGCGCGTTTCGTCTACACAAGACTCATCAGTGACGCTCAGATCAAAATAGGTATAAAGCCAAACAAGTACAAAGTTGAAGAGTATTGAGGACCCAAAATTCCAAAAAGTTGTGCCAAATTCGGCTAAGGTAATCTATGCCTGGGATAAGAAAACCCTTAGTATTTAAAAAAAATCATACTTTTGTCAAACAACAGTATACGAAACACAACATAGAAAAATAAAGACTGAGCAACACGAACAGGACCAAAAACCGGGGACCATCTCGGGTGCTCCTGAAGGGTAAGCAGATCATGTTACTCATATTGCACCCGTCGAGTTGATCATGTAAGTACAGACTCTGAGATAAGTCTACTCGGTGATGTCACATTCGAGAAAAAGAAGATGGGATTGTTCATGTTGTTGCTACGACATATATATTCCATATGCATGCACTCCTGGAATGTTGCTACACAGAAATGGAAGGTTAACAATTGGAAAGCAAAAACCATCCCTTTTGTTCTCAACCAACCCTCATTGACAATTAATAAGACAAATTCAAGATAAGAGGCGACTTAACTGTATTTGATGTACCCTTTATGTCAAGTTCGATGCGATATATATGTTCAACATAATCGCCAAACTTTATATTTTCAAGTGAGAGGACAGTATCTTTATAGTTGAACGTGGAGTTAAAGGATAATGCTAGCTTGTTTCATTTTCCCTAAGAAGCTCCTGTATGAAGTCTGTCCAATATGAATAAAGATGCAAGTCGGAAAGAAGAGGAGCCGGCACAGTTGGCTCCCATGGGAATGCCAATTATTTGTTTAAAATCAAGACTAATTCTTGCAAGTTGTCTTTGTATTTGGAATGGGGAATACTTGTGTAAAAAGTTCTCTTATATTTTGTCTCTCGTGTTGTGTGGAGGCCGTAGAAAGTTTCCCCGGGCTTGATACAGATCTGTATGTATGCACTTCTGTATTTTTAAATTGATGGTTTTTAATCTTGAGATAACTTATCTTATGTGTGCCACATCATTCTCTCAATTTTAGGCTAGTTTGTGTACCAAAATTTTGAATAGACGCACACCATCTATTCTTGCCCTCATTTTATGGGGGCGGGATCATTATACCGTTATTTATACATCAGACCGTACTGGTTACCGGAATTTTGGAAACACCAAACCAGGTACTTCATATCTGAGAAACAGACAATATATGGCTTCAATTTTAGAATTCATTCATACATTTTTGTATTATTCAAAATTATCAGTCAATATGTGTTCTACAAGGATCACCAGTCCTTTACATTTCATCTGATACCTTAATTACTAAAATATATTCTACATAGTTTAATATTTACACCTATGCGTAGGAACTATTTTGTTTTAAATATGTACTACTCTTTTTTGACCGGACCCGATTTGGTGGTGTTACATCTTAAAAAGTCTATCCAAAGTATTTTTGCAAAGAATTCCGCTCAAGCCGGTGCTAGGGACCATCTTAAATTTGCAGTGAGGTGAGAGTTTTTTGGCTTCGTGTTGAAGGCCTCGCTGTGACTTTAAGATGAAGAACAGCAATAAAAGCGCTGTTCCTTTGATTTTTGTGTGTTTTTTTGCTGTGCATGTACTGATTTTGTGTCATCAATTGATACCCCATATCCATTGTTTTTCTATTAGAAAAGTCAAATATGTTCATACTATTGCAAGAGGAAAGATACTTAGATTATATGTACTCAACAGATCTTAGGAATATTTAAGTATCAACATCTGATTCACACCATCATCTAGAGTAGTTAGTTTTTCAAAAAAATTAAACAACACTTTATAAATTTTGTGCGTCTGAAATATTTTTTCTGGATTTAGCTTCATTAGGAACACTCAAAGCCAAATATTTGAAAGCCATGGATGTAGAAGAACCGAAACAGTTGAAGAGCTATATGTCCAAAAAACGACCAAAAAATAATAGCCAAATCCATATAAATTCAACTTTACTGAGGGAGTACATTGTACCTGTACTATTCTACGTTCTATTTAATATATTTTGTTAGTTCCATTAATTGATCATGTTGATGAAGATAAAAAAAAGTAGGAGGGTTTAACATCGTGGGTTTGTTCTTACAACTGAACCTTGTAAGAGCTTATGTTTGTTTATATTCGAGTGATTTCGTCCTTTAAAGAATTTGATTGATTTAGATTATAATGGCAGATCGTTTATATTCTGTATTGAATTCACTTTTCAGAATCGAGGACATTATAGAGCCAGACAAATGATATGGCAACAGTTTTTTTGTACGGTGGGATTGACTTCTTCATGCATGTCTTTTATACTTCAATGTATTGTTTTCTTGCCATCTCATTGACATAGTAATCAGATCTCTTTTTGTTCATATACACTTATATTTCGTCAACAGTAGTTTACATATGTTCAAGTTTATAAATCGATTAAGAAGACAAATCAATTTAGTAAATAAAAACTGAGGGAATCGCATGAACTACAAAAGGAGCGAGACCGGATGCGTCGACACTGTAAGCGTCTCCTGCTATGCATATCCAAATTTATTCAAAATTTCACAATCGTAAAATAGGACTCATTTGATACATAAACTACCAAAATATATTCTACATAGTTTGATATTTACATTTATGCATAGGCCCTATTTTGTTTCAAACATGTACTACTTTCCAGTATGTTCTGTTCGATTTGGTGGTGTTACATCTTACAAAACCTACGCAAATTATTTCAGTTTGCAAAGAAATCCGCTCAAACCGGTGCTAGGGGCCGTCTTAAACTTGCAGTGAGGAAAGAGTTTTTTGCTCCATATTGGAGGTTTCAAGGTGACTTTGAGAGGAAGAAGAGCAATAAAAGCGCGGTTCCTTTGCTTTTTGTGTGTTTTTTTAGGTGTGCATGTGCTGATTTTGTGTCATGGATGGATACCCCATGTCTTTTGTTTTTCTATTACAATCGGTAACATTATAGACGACTATTCTGGTATCTAAAAGATCCAACACTGATTAAACATAACCAACAAATTCGTAATGGTAACCGTATATTTTATACGTTTCTCAGTGATGAGTGTTCTTGTGTATGTTTGTGCTGTATTTCTGTCACGTAGTGTTGTCACTTTAGCTATATCTTTTAATATTGTTATATAAGCAGGAGGTTTGGCTAGCCATAAAACCAGGTTCAACCCACTACTTTTTCTTAAAATGTCATGTACCAAGTCAGGAATATGGCAGTTGTTATCAAATAGTTCGTTTCTATGTATATTGGCGTTTGTTTTTGTTGCACTTCAGTGTTCCTATTCCTTTGTTTTCCTCTTATAGTTGATGTGTTTCCCTCGGTCTTAGTTTGTAACCCAGATTTGTTTTCTCTCATTCGATTTATGACTTTTGAACACCGGTATACTACTGTTGCCTTTATTTATATGGTGAAGATTTCAGTTATTATTCCTCAGAACTCTGATGGAGCAGTGTTTGTGTAAGTAGCACACCCCTGCAAATGAAGTCCGTATAGCATGACCATGCACGAGTGTAACGTATTTATATACTACTATATATTCTGCATTGACATTTTCCTGCTATTTTTTGCGCATTATTTCTTTGTCATAAAAAGATGTACTTTTTGTTGTATGAACATTTGATTACCTATACAATCTAGCGCAATTGACATTGTATATTCTTTGTGTTTTGGTTTTGGATGTGTTCAGTTCTTGTTTTATATTGAATTGTACTTGCTAATGTTTTTGGAGCTGGTTGGTTTGTTGGTCTTTGCTGGTGTTTTGGTTTTTCCATATTTATATCTTACTAACAATCCCTGTTTTGTTTTGCTCAATATTGCGCAAAAAATGAGAAAACACCATTCATATCACATGCCTTTATTTCATGTAGGAAAATATAACATTTATAACAAGGAATACAATATATATCAACCTGCATTTGGCTAAAATAAAACTGCACCATTTTATCAATTAAAAAATTGCAGAAGAAAAACAGATCTATTCTTCATTTTGTATGAATTACTGTTATTTATGTTCTTTAATTGTCTCTATAACTGTAGTATACAAATAGAACGTAAACGAATGGCAAATCGATTTGAATAGAGTGTATACATTTCTTTCTCTGACAAGACTGTAACCTCGAACAAAGATGGAAAGAAAAATGCACCTGTTCTGAATTTCCATTTGAAGTCAACGCTTTTGATCTTACTCTTACTCTGTATTTTGACTCTCTAAAAAATGTAACAACTTTTGTAAACGTTTCTATTAAGTATTTGTCAAACGTAAAGTCTTTTTTGTCAAATATAACAATATTATAGAATGTAAATCTGGTATTGAATAAAAAATACTGAACAATAATCTAGTCAAATAGAATTTATCTTCCACCAATATAAAAGCACCAAGACACAACATGAACATCCGAAGAAATAACAATATGTAAATATATTATGAATAAGAAAATAAAAAAAAATATATACTCGTCTGATACTTTGGCGGGATATATAATAAATTTAAGCTTTCGGTATATTTAGAGACCTTTGGACAGGATATCAAAGCAAAACGAAGAAGGGGTATGTATGATAAGAGTAATAGTTCCCCCTTAAATAAAAATGAAATAAAGTTCGTCCATTCATTAAAAATACGTTTTTAATAAATGAAGTAAAAAATACAGTTTGGCAAGTGTTTGATGTAATTTTGACACAATCAACATGATAAACATGTCAAAATTGAAATATTTAACAACAAAGTCATTTCATATTGATGATAAGGTATTTGGTCAAATTAAGTTTGAACAATAACTTAACTCGTCAAAAATCAAAAATCGATTTCAGTTCTTATATTAAAATCATTGATCGATATATATTTTAAGGCTTGTTCTTTTGCTCGTATCTAAATATTAATGAGACAAATAAAAACGAGACAATTTTGGCAATAGGTAAATAAACGAAATTGAATTGTGTCTTTTAAACATCCGAAGGATGGATGTATATTGAGATCATTATACATAGCTTTTATTGAACATATATTGATTATTAATTGTACGCTTACCGTTTTCCGTAGTATGTATGTATACCACGTCAGTATATTATTTAACACTCTTGTTAAATGGTTAAATTACCAATGCTATAGACTTAAAGGTGAAATCAGAATGTCTCCTCAATACCTTCAATAAGATAAGCTTTTTTGTATATAAAAAGGCCTAAGCGGAACAGAGAAAAGCCTCTCAGATCAAATATGTCTAAATTGATAAACATGTCATTTTACAGACCAAACGTATTATTCAAAACATGTCTGAACCCAAATACCTTTTCAAAGTATTGTAAATTATAAAATTTTGAAGATCAGATAAACATTTGATACATTGTAAATTTTTATTATCTTCCAAAACCGGTTGAAAGATTTAGTTGACTAAGATGAAATAAACATTGGCCAAATTGTCAACATCTCACAATTTATGAAAAAAAAAATAATAAACATTAAGTTATAATCTGTACACTGTTGTTAAAAAATGCCAGCAAGTCAAATTTGCTATTTAACTTTTTTGCAAAATAGACATGAGTCTAGCATGTCTAGGCCAACATTACAATTTTCCTAAGTCGTTTTAAAGCAAAATGTCTTTGCTAAGTTAAAGCTATGGCTCATATCTAATGTTTATGACAAGATCTCAAAATTCTACTATTTCAGAAGTTTTAGTGTTTTCACATCAAATGCAATAAGTTCGAAAACCTAGAGCAAACATGAAAAACATATCTTAAAAAATTATAAATACGTTTATCTGACAGAATAAAGCCTTGTGAACATGCTGTGAATGCTATTTGACAGATTCATCATATTTTTAGATTTTCTAATTGAAGGTTACACACTTTCTTCTTTGACATAATTAAGCTCGGCTTAAATAGCTACATTGTTAACCAAATCCTTTTTAGGGGAAGAGGTTAGCATTTTAAGCTTATTTAACTGATTGATTTCAAAATAATTATTAATATTCCGGAATAAATTGTTTTCGAGTATAACTGTAAGTAGGTATTTAGTATATTTACTTTTTAAAATTATAATGAATAGAATGTTTGGCTTTCTTTTACTTAAAGGGTCCCATACCATATATAGACCTAAACTAAACTACCCTTTTTCATTAACTTAGACCTAACCAATATCTAACATTAGCCCTAATCCTGCAAATAAATTCCTGACCTAAAAAACCTAAAGCTTAGCTTAAATGTAAAATGAAGCCTAACCCTAAAGTAAGGAAACTCCTAAAGTAAAAGAAGGCCAGTTTTGATGACACAGACTGAGGGCATGACAATTAAAGCAAAATTGATGACGAAATACACCATATTAAACAATGTTAAATGAGACTTCAAACATTACATCTGGTATCATATAAACATGTTAATGTGTTGTTTTTGTATGTATTGTACCTTTAAACGACGCCAGGACAAAACGTTGTATATAAATATTGTTGTAAATTACTTTGCTTCGAGATTAATTTAATTCATTCCGCCAGCAGAATGTATTCTCCAATCGTCTATTCAAAATGTATCTTTCAAAAACCCGTGTTTTTAACTGGTCAAAAGTCTATGACACAATGCTGAAAATAAAAAAAAAAAGATATGAAAGATGATTATACTTCAGCCGGGACACTTCATCATGTTCATGTTTCAATAATTTGCAAGGTTTATCGTGTGTAATATCAATTTCATGTCGCATCACTTCTCTTTACAATGAGGGGCACATTTAGGAATGAAACATATGTGTCTTTTATGTCAACATTTAAAGCCTAGTATTGTAGCAGCAGATAACAACAATATAAGATGAATTTTTTGAAAAATATTTTTGTTTTGGTACTTGGTACGAAACTGTGAAGGTTTAAAACTCGCCTTTCAGAATTTTCAAAGACCCCTGAAATAGCATATATATTTCTGACAACCTTATATTAGAATAGAGAATGGAAACGGGAAATGTGTGAAAAAGACAACCCGACCAAAGAGCAGAGGCTATGAAGATCTGTTATCAACCTCTATGATAATAAACACTATGATGAGACAAAAGACAACCACTGACTAGGTTTTAACTTTGGGGAAGCATATGGACGTATGGCAGTGTTAAATTTTTGTGTTTTGGGGTTCTCCCCCTTACCATATTTAATCCAATCAGTTGACACAAATAGATATGTCCGCAAAAAACATGCAATACAGATAATTACAACAAAAGGATTTCACCGTATAATAACAGTATACTTTATACAACTACTCACCATCCATTTCTTGTACCACATAACACATCTTTTTCACACAGTATTCGCAATAGGAATTCTCCTTCATGTTGTGGAACTTGACTGTAAGGCACAACTACATAGCTTCCCTCCTCAAGATCAAAACGGACAGTTATTTCCCTTTCATCGTTATGTGATTCGCATCTGCTTATGTATTTGTATTTTGAGAAATCTTTACACTCTGGTGTCTTGCACTAAAATTTAAAATAACAAAAAAGTGGTTTTTTTTATTTTGAAAAAGAGAACAATTCATATACTACTGATACCAGTTAGATATGTACGATAAGAGGATACCAAGGGGTATTCAACCCTATACATCGAAGGAAGACATACAATATCAAAGAAAAAAAACCCTTAAAGCACAGCACAGAAACCGAAGATTTAGCTATACACCTATAACAACCAATGCTGAATTCAGATACTCTGGAACTTTAAGCAGTTTCTGATCCACAATATAAGAATAACAAAATTTGATATGATTGCCAATGATACAACTATCCACCAAAGTTCAAATGAAATGGATGTAAGCAATTATAGGCAACCATGAGAAAACCCATACCGTATGGTCGACTATTAAAGGCCCCGACATAAAAAATATGAAACAATTCAATTGAAAAAACTAACGGCCTAATTTATAACAAAACAATTTACGAAAAACAAATATGACAGAGATGAACCAACGAGAACCACTGAACTACAGGCTACTGACTTGGGACAGGAACATACAAAATGTGGCGGATTTAAACATGTTTATGAGCACTCAACCCTCCCCCTAACCTGGGACAGTGGTGTAACAGTACAACATAAGAACAAACTATAAAACTCAGTTGAAAAAGGCTTAACTCATCAGAAATAAATCTAACAAATGCTTATTTCGAATCATAAGTCTGTTAATTTTCTTCATCAAAATAAGCCTTTCTGTCCCATGCCCTTTGCAGTTGTCTATATAAAAATAACATATTAAGTCACAAGAAGGCAAAGAGAGGTAACAAACAAAAACTGCGAGAATCGTCTGGGCTTCAAAGGAGCAAGGAGCGAGACTGACGAGTGCGTAGACAGGGTAAGCGTCTCCTGAATTACGGATGGGTTAAATCAATATGCCACTAGGACTTCGTGGCGCTGGGTATGATTATTACAAGTGCAGTATGATCTTAACAAGCTTATGCGATCTTTTTAATATAACAGTAGATTATAATGTATACAAGGTATGCAATTGATGTCTAATTGTGACTTACTTGTACTTGAATGTCTTAATCACGCTTAAAGCCATGCCTTCTTTTGTTCATATTGAATTTGACTGATGAAATGTGAAACTATCATATGCCAAGGTTTTGTTTATTAGATATAATATGATAACATAATTCACAGTTAAGATCATATATCAAAAATAATCATAACTAATGATTTAAGCCTTAAAATAGAACTATGAATGATATATCAACCTATTTTTAGTTGTAACCCTACATTTATAGTTCATTTTGGTTTTTTTTCACCTTATACGAAACTTTGCTTAGAAGAAAGAAATTTAGCACCAACTTTGAAATGATAGAAAAATTACATTTTGTAAGAAAAATAAAGCCTATTGGTTCAGATTGCATATAGAATAACGATAATTCTGAAGGTAGAGACAGAAATAATAATGACAAATTTTATTAGAACAAATAAATATTACTATATTTAGCTAACTAATTAGACAGAAAAAATTGGCACTATATAGTCCAAATCTAAAGGGAAAAAAAGAAGAATGTATTTACTACTCTTTCAAGACCAGATCTAATCGGGACAGTTATATATTTCTAGAAAGGAAAAATTTAACCAGACACACATAGATACTACCTTGTAAAGGCCTAATCCGATTGGAACAAGTTGTCCACAGGTCGATCCTCTACGGTAGTCCTGCAGGAGTGACACGAGGATGTGGCTTTTACGATGGTAATTTTGTGGTATCATTTCATTTATGACACCTGGCTTGCTGATGGTAAAGTATACACGTGGGCATTTGGACAGATTTGACACATCTAGCTCTAAAACAAAAATATAACAATCACTGCTTGCAGGCCTAAAAAATAACACAAAGACAAGCGAAAATGATATCTTCTAACTCGTTCACTATGCCTGTGTCTTTAGTGACCTTATGTATGTTCATGAATGTAATCTATGTATCGCTGATGAATCATTAAGTCGGAGATTTCGATCAGACCTTTATTTATTTCATAGATACAAATATTGCTTTTGAAGTTTCACCATCCGTATATATTGCTATATGCACCGATGTTTGTTCTTTCCCTTCTTTCTTTTGGTACTGGTTTTCACTGACCTACTTCAATTTGTGATTTTTAATATCTCCTTGATTTTTTTCTTTGTAACAAAAGAGCTATTGTGGCAATATTTTGTATTGTCATTATCAGTCGTTTACAACTAAGATTTGAGTATGTTTAAGGTGCATATGTACAACGAAAATGTATTTGTCAATTATATCGCATGGCATAATATTGTTATGCCATTTCCTCTTGAACTATCATTGATATGGTCATAATTATAAATTAACAGTTTACAAAACTTTGAATTTTTGAAATACTAAGGCTTTTCTACCTCAGGAATAGATTATCTTAGCTGTATTTGGCAAAACTTTTAGGAATTTTTGGTCCTCAATGCTCTTCAACTTCATACTTTATTTGGCCTTTTTAACATGTTATGATTCGAACGTCACTGATGAGTCTTTTGAAGACGAAACGCGCGTCTGGTGCAATTATTAAATTTCTATCCTGGTATCTATGATGAGTTTACTTGTTCCGTTAGCAAGCAAGCATGAAGAAACAATAAACTTTCACATTTTGAAAGACCTTTAAAAGGTCTTTCTATGAAGAGAATATAATACCAAATGTGATAATGTAAAATATTCAAACAAGTTTACTACCACATTTTATATCAATTAGTATCGTAATTTTCATTGTTATTAATAAATGTTATATGAGTATTATAAACCAAATCTTGAATTCTATCCTAATTCTATCCTATTTTGGGGAAATTTCAGAAATTCAAATGTGACGTCACCTTTTTTTTGCGTTGATCTCTTTGGCTAACTCGGCTGTGAATGTTTATGTGCTGGTTTATGTTGTTTTATGAATCCGTTTTTATTCTGTAGTTAGTCACCACTTCGATGTTATCATGTATATCTATTATATAGTCATTTTTATAAATTTACTGTTTGCAAAAGTATGAATTATTCTAAATACTAAGGATTTTCTTATCCCAGACATATAACCTTAGCCGTATTTGGCACAACTTTTTGGAACTTTTGGTCCTCAATGCTCTTCAACTATGTACTTGTTTTGGCTTTCGTACTTTTTTGAGCGTCACTGGTTAGTCTTGTATGGAAGAAACGCGCGTCTTGCGTATTTGATTTTAAACCTGTACCTTTTGTTAGCTATTATTCGTATGTTTCTCTGTCCTATATGTTCTCCCATTTATTTGTATTGTAGTCCTGTCATGTAATGTTGTCATTTTATTAATGTTATATTTAACATTGCCATAAAAGCGGGAGGTTTGGCTAGCCACAAAACCAGGTTCAACCCACCATTTTTTTCTTAAAATGTCCTGTACCAAGTCAGGAAAATGGCCAATGTTATATTATAGTTCGTTTCTGTGTGTGCTACATTTTAATGTTGTGTTTCTGTTGTGTCGTAGTTCTCCTCTTATATTTGATGTGTTTCCCTCAGTTTTAGTTTGTAACCCAGATTTGTTTTTTTCTCAATCGATTTATGAATTTCGAACAGCGGTATACTACTGTTGCCTTTATTTACAAAAGGTCGATGTCTTGTTAATCAATGTTTTGATTGGCGCGGTAGAGAGACACTTTTTTTAGCTTTGAAAAAAGGGGGGGGGGGGGGTAATTAGTTTGAACCTCTTGAATAAACATGCCAAATGACTTCAAACAGTTTCAAATGAGTCTTCAAAAAGCTCTGCTATTAACGAGATAATGAAGAATAGCTAGTCACATGGATTTTGTTAAATCATTTTTCAAATGTGTATTTATAATTTCTCTGTTGAAGCTTTTTTTTTTACTGGGGTAGTGGCGCAGGTCCAGACATAAAAGTCCGACTTATGTGAAATTTTCTAAGTCAAAACTGCTCAAAAAATGCTCAGGTGAGAAATTTGGACTCATAATTTTTTCCTGTAAAAATCCATTAAAACATTCTATGTTCGAATTCCTCACCATCTGCTCAGCTGAGCAGCTATATTTCTCAGCTAATTTTTGTTCTCACCTGAGCAGCTTAGGTGAGAAAATGTGTGCACATGTGAACTACCAAACCGCTCACCTAAAGTATCTAATTTGAATACGTTTCTCAGTTGCTACACATGTGAACTACCAAACCGCTCACCTAAAGTATCTAATTTGAATACGTTTCTCAGTTGCTACACATAACTTTCTCATGTGAATCTCGTGTGCTGAGGTGAGCATAGTCTGTACGGGTTAATTCGTAAATTGGCGATTAGGAATGGAGTATAGTTGACTGTTGAAGTTACAAAAATTTTACATTTATACGTAAACGGTCAAGGAAAAAGGTTCACACAGGGTTACAATTGGTATATGATTTTTACTGGTCAAAATGTACAAATTGTACATATAACTAATTTAATAAAGCTAGTACATTGTAATTATTTTAATAAAAAACCTTTAAAATATCTTCTGTTTTTTTCTTAAGCTGCTCAAAATCATTGCGTTTTGACAACAACTCCAAAATGTACTGACTTTGGTGCATATACTGTACACTTCTGAAGAGATGTGTCTTACTTCGCATTTTGTAGCAATTGAAAAAAGACTTGCCAAGTTGGGTTGATGTTATTTAAGAATTGAACGCTTCTTTTTGTAAATTTATTGGGGTGTAAAAGAGTTGACCGAAGTACATTTTATATGAAGCGAGGAAGCGCTTCTTTCTAAAAATGTGTGCACGGTCAACGCTTTTACAACTATAAAATTACTAAAAGAAGCATTCAATACTTATAATTGGATTTTTTTGCTAGGATCATGAAAACACGATTTCTATCAAGTTTTTCTTTTATTTACGTGTGCACTTTATTGTGGAAGCTCGTGTCGTCATGAATGTTACATTTCATTTTGAAATGAAGGTAAATTTCAGAATGACGCGCGATTGCTGTTAGCCAATCAAACTGACGTATTATAATGAAACATACATGTAATTATTATAAACTTCTCATTTGATTTAGAATTTTGATAATGGTTTTTATTTTATTTTAACTCCAACTTAGTATAAACAAGAATGTGTCCATAGTACACGGATGCCCCACTCGCACTATCACTTTGAAATTGGGGTCAAAACTCTAATTAAAATTACAAAGATCATATCATAGGGTGTACTAAGTTTCAAGTTGATTGGACTTCAACTTCATCAAAAACTAACTTGACCAAAAACTATAACCTGAAGCGGGACACCCCACTTGCACTTTCATTTTCTATGTTCAGTGGACCGAGAAATTGGGGTCAAAACTCTAATTTGGCATTAGAATTAGAAAGATCATATCATAGGAAACATGTGTACTACGTTTCAAATTGACTGGACTTCAACTTCTTCAAAAACTACCTTGACCAAAGACTTTAACCTGAAGCGGGATAGACGGACGAACGGACGCACAGACCGAAAACATAATGCCCCTAGGTGGGGCATAATAAGAGAAGATGGTGGGAATACGTCACGAGGTACTACCACAAAAATCAAAAGACATTTGTTTGTCAACATACTATTTGAAGCACATCCAATACATGATAAATAATACCGTATATATAAAAAAAATGTTCATTGTTGCGTAGGGCTTGCTAAAAGTACTAACCCTGCTGATATGTCCACGAAACTATAATACTATTATTTTTGAAATTTTGTCTCTGCTATGTGGATACGTTTACATATTAATCAGATTTTAATTAGCAAACAAACGTCATTTCAAATATATGTCACCATGCAACAATATCAGATTGTTTACCATTGACCGCATTATACTTTGCTAGGAGTAGCCCTTTGTTTATCTTAAGGTAATGCATTTCTGCTTAAAACCTTGTCTGTATAACATTTGTTATAAAACCATGACTAAATTCAGGAAATTGTTAGGAGATAACACACAAAATAACTTCTTCGCACTTGTCCAGATACAAAAAAAAATGTTTGATAATAGCTTGAATTAAAAGAGTTTAGATATGATATTGATTCAACTTACTGATCCATCTGTCACGATGTTCTACTAAAAGTTTCCAGCCGCCACGTGACCGGAAGAAATCTGTTTTCGTTGCTAGGAAACTACTGTGAGTCAAGTGTGATAAAGAAGACGAAGAGAAGTTTCTTCCTATTAGAGGAGCACTTTTACGTCTATATGCATACGCAAAGCCTGCCTGAAATCCTGTTATATCTGTCTCCCCATTTATACTGTCACCATCCTGTGACTTTTCGGAACATATACTTTCAATCCTAGAGAATGGATAAACTGCAGTATCGTCCGAACTACCTCTTCGCCAATACCATCTCTTCTTGTAAGCTGGACAATCGGAATATTCGTTGTTATTTGTACTACATGGCACATTTCTGCCATTTAAAAGCATTTTCATAATATTATCTGTTTGGGGACTTGACGTAAAACTGTGACGTTTTTGTGTTGTGTCATTTGGCGGGTTTAGAGAGTTATGTAGTCTATTTTGGGATTGACCATTCCTCACAATAAACGATGATGCTGTTGAATTGCGACTACTTAACGGAAGTGCTCCGTCTATACTTTGGCCGCTAGGAGGACGTGTTGTTGAATCGCTTGAATCTGAGCGCTTGTAAATACGTTCTATTGACAACCCTTCTGAACGGAAAGGGTCTGTTCCATTTATTATAATTAATCCACCAAAATTACACCTGAAATCTTCATATTTCATCCAGTACTCGTCTTTATCTTTGCACTGGAGTGGTTTATATTTTTCCATGAACCAAAGGGATACAGACCCCCATGAGATTGGATCACTGCAAAGAAAATTGAATGTTATATGTATCATCAATGTAAATTAAAGCAAACATGCAATGCAACTGTTCAAATTTCTTTGTTAATAATTTGTATTCCCTTATATTCATTTTCTTTGCTGTGACGCAAATGTTTAATCACACATGTTAAAACTATTAGTTTAATGTTGTTTTCTTAATGTTCAGTGACATATATTTCATACATATTCAATACGAGAAAAAAACAGTACATCAATTTTGGAACATTCAAAAAGATGTTGCATACATGTTGGTTCTTAATCGAGCAAAGAGCGTTGGGCTCTCCATATAAGAGGCATCTTATGTTATCATATGTAATGTCCCTATTTCAATCGGACGTATACATTCTATACAGCCAAATGGACGAGACAAATCGTGAGTTTTCAGAAAGTATACGAAAATAAAATAGAATTATAATATAACGTATTCAAATTAATGATTTTCTAAATATAATAAAATGAAAAAGATAAGTACCAGTCTATGACCCCCAATAAATGCCTGACATCTAATGTCAGACATTAAGGATGCTGATGATTTATCAGACTATGTCCCAGTATGTACTGTATAATAAAATGAAAAAGATAAGTACCAGTCTGAAAATTTTCCATGCCAGTTTGGTTCTGCAGTAAATTGACATTTCAATCTGACCATTTCTATCAATCGCCCATCGGTTGTCGGGAACTATATTAAACAAACAAAACATATTAGAGTTATGATATGGCAAATATCAAGCTTACAATCAAAACAGAAGATAATAGTTATAGTATAGCAAATACGATTCTACAATGTAGTGCCATGGCAAAAAAAAATAAATAAAACTGTCATATTTGTTTTTTTTTTATTGTTTCTGTGAAATGAATTTAATAATGCAAAACTTTTCATAATACTTTTGAAAAAAGGCAGAGTTAACACATTCGTGTGTAGGATTTTGAAAACTTATTGATTCACACTGTATTCGAAATCATACTTTAACCTACATGTATGGATATTCGATTTTTGTGTACATGTACATGTATCACGATTTCGTGCTCTCTTCGTGCCAGTTCTTATTTTTTTTACATCTACATATACCTTTTACCCTATCAAATGATCAAATGACCAAATACTCTTTTTTTCTATAGAATAACAGCCACGTACTTTATAATGGGTTAGGGGGAGTATTAGATTTAATCATGATTCTCAGTTTAGAAAGAATACAATGTATATTGCCATTCAAACGAAAATTATTCTCAATAGTTCAATTCGTTCAAAATGTTGAAAAAATAATCTCTTTTTCCGCGATAAAAATGTCATGAAGAAAAAGGGAAAGAAAACATAGCATCCCCTTTCATCAACTAAGTTGGTATATAAATTACTGACGAAGTGACTTGTATTTTTTCATACACCGTTATCGGGCGGTATCGGGTCGTATAACACACCTCGGGGTGTCAGGATTGCCCAAGGATTACCCATTTTATTAATCCTGACGCCCCTCGGTGTGTTATACGACAAGAAAAACCTTAGAATATGCATTATCTATAACATCAGAAAGTTGCCAAGTTTTCGTTTGAATTATTCACAGTTTGTCATGTCAGGGTCTTTTATAGATGACTAAACGGTGTGGGTATTGATCATTGTTGAGGGCCGTTACATAACGTTGCTTATACCCACGTACTTTTGGACTTTGCTGGATAGTTATCTCATTGTCAATTATACCACATCTCCTTATTTATCCATTGTTTATTTTCTTTTTTATCTTTTCGATAGTGTATTGTACAGAGTCGTATCAAACAGTATATATATATATATAATCAATTAATAAACTCTTATATTATAATGTATATTCAATTTATGTTAATCTGAATTTATCTTATTTATGTACAAATCAATAAACAAACAAAGCAATAATTGACAACTACAGAATTTCTGACTTGGGACAGGCACAACCAGAATATTGCGGTGTTAAACATGTTTGCGGGCGCCCAACCCTCCCCTAACCTGGGACAGTGGTGTAAAAGTAAGCTTTATCGCAACTGGTCGTTCATGTAAATATTTTGTTTAATCTTATCTAATACAGACAAATCAGTGACAACACCGTAAGGACTTATACAATACCATAAATATGTACACTGTATTTGAAAAATTTATTTTAAAATAATTTTCCCGCTAAGAATTGAAATTTCACTGTTGGTTCGTATGTGCTCGCAAACACCTTCAAAATCTTAAAGCAAGGTGAGATTCAATTTAGACAAACGTCACGTCACGTCTCCTAATAACATAGCTTCTATCGAATAGAAAGGCGATATATGACAAGAATGTAAAAAAAAAAAGATTGATAACACAACTTTTAAAATCGTTCACTAAATATGGCGTCTGTTGCAAATGTACTTCTCAAACACACTCCCGAAATAACGTAGCTTCTGTCCAATGGAAAGGCGATATACGACAAGAATTGAAAAAAAAAAAAAAAAAAAAAAAGTCGGTAAAATATTTAGAAATTCTTGTTATTTCTGATATGTTTGAAAAATCCATAGACATTCCTTCCCCGCTCACAAGTCTTCTAAATTATTCAGACGAGTTGATATGATAAAGAAATAGATAGGTGAACCCCCTAAAAACAAAATAACTTAAAGTATTATACCTTCGTCGTAGCTGTTATAATGTGTAGATATCTTGTTAGATCTTCATTTTCTTCTTCAAAACTGGTGTTCTAGATAACAAAATATTTAAAAAAGAAATTATGATATATTAGCCAATAGCCATAAAAAACATACTAGTAATCAAGAGGTTTTTTTTTCAGTTCCATCGATGTTCGTCTTGCTGAATTATAAGTTTTCTACGTAATATAAAAATGAGAAGATGAGGTATGATTGTCAATGAGACAACTATCCACCAGGTATAAAGGCTCCGATATGACAAAATGTGAACCAATTCTAACGATAAAACCAACGGCCAGATTGATGTATAAAACAATTTGCGAAAAACAAGTAGGAAAGACAACAAGTCAACCAACGACAAACACTGAATTATATGTGTACACAGCAAAAAATGCAACGCATGTAAACGCATGTTTACCAGGAATTTACCGTACGTTTCTAAACATGTCAGAAACGCATGTTTGGAGCACAGTACGTTTAACGCATGTTTGGGGAACGTATAGTTTACATGCGTTTATGTGAATCATGCGTTTGAAAACATATGGTGAAACGCATGTTTACCATCCGTTTTCAAAAACATGTGGTGAACATGCGTTGCATTTTTTGATGTGTATACTACACAGACTCCTGACATCGGGCAGGCATATAAAATGTGTTGGGGTTAAACATGTTTTCGAGCGCTCATTCCCTCCTGGCATGGGTCATAGGTGTAAAAGCTCAACATGAGAACAAACAATAAAAAATTAGTTGAAAAAGGCCTAACTCATCAGATCGACACAAGTACAGAAAAAAAAAAACAACTAACAAAAAAGATAAGACCGATCTATGAGTACTCGCAGTTACCGAAATCCAGTTCAAAACCAATAACAACTAATAAATAGATCATTGTGTTGTGGCTTGTTGTTTGTCAGTTCGTCTTTTTTTTTCTTTTGAGCATGGTGTTGTCTTTTTTTCCCTTGTTTCTTAATTGGTTTGTTATTGCCCTCATGGTATTTTCTCGCCTTATTGATAATGATAACTATACAATCGTGATTGAACATATCATTATTCTACGTTTTGGAAGTTGTGAGTTCAATTTGCGGCTAAATCAAACCAAACAAAAGCATTATTTTATAATTGGTGAATACTAGATGTACTTTTCTGCTAATCGCCAAATATTTAATAGTTCGAGTGATTGAGGCAGAGTCAGTCGAACTGTAAAAGAGGGACGAAAGATACCAGAGGGACAGTCAAACTCATAGATCGAAAACAAACTGACAACGTCATGGCCAAAAATAAAAAGACAAACAGACAAATAATAGTACAGATGACACAACATAGAAAACTAAAGACTAAGCAACACGAACCCCACCAAAAACTGGGGGTGATCTCAGGTGCTCCGGAAGGGTAAGCAGATCCTGCTCCACATGTGGCACCCGTCGAGTTGCTTATGGTATTACAAATCCGGTAAATAGTCTAATTCGGTAAGTCACATTCGTGAAAAGGGAAGGGTATTGTAGTTACGACATAAGTTCACAATTGGGAAGCTGAAATCATCTCTTTTGTCGTAAAGTTTTGTTTTCAACCGACCCTCATTGTCAATTTCTAGATGTAAGTCAAGATATGAGGCAGACTTAACTGTATCTGTAGTATCCTTTATCTCTAGTTCGATGGGATAGATTCGTTCAACATAGTCACCAAATTTTGTATTATTTAGTGAGAGAACATCATCTATATAGCGGAACGTAGAGTTAAAGGATATTGCTAACTTCTTATCTCTCTTCCTAAGAAGCTCCTGTATGAAGTCAGCCTCATAATAATAAAGAAACAAGCTTGCACTTTAAAAGGCATTAAGACAAGTATATTTTTAAACGAATGTGTAAATATTTAAAACAGGCTAGGCAGTTTAACAGCATATTATTCATTCATTCTTTCCAATTTTAACTATTGTCCAGTAATTTGGCATTATTGTAGCAAAAAAAAAAAAGCAAAAAAAAAAAACAAACAAAAAATGGAAAAAAAAATCAAGAGATAGCTCTTAGATTCATTTATAAAGATTATGATAGTTTTTAGAAATAAGAAGAATAAAAACTATTGCAGAAGAAACATTATAAATAGTTCATAAAAAAGTCCAAGTTATCTTCTTGATTTAATTGATATTAAAATTCAGAAGTATAATTTTAGATCACAGAAAACAGCAGTACTCCCGAGAGTCAGAACTTCCACGTATGGTTTGAGATCGTTTCGCTATAATGCTACACAAATTTGGAATGAGCTGCCTAACCATTGTCGAATGGAAACATCTTTTGACCAATTCAAAAAATTGGTACAAACATGGGATCCAAATAACAGCTCCTGCCAATGCAGTGCCTGCTTATAATATATATTTTTTTTAATTTTGTTTGACTGTTGGATTTGTTAAGCTTTGTTAGCTATTATCTGCTGTGCTAAAACAATGTTTTTAACTTGTATATGTCATCTATTTTAATATCTTACCATGCACTGTATATTTAAAATTTTGCTTGTATGTGTGTATACATTTTGAATTCTATTTGAAAAGCTCACTAGCGCTTGTGTTTATGTAGTTTATTAATATCGTCTGTTGGTCTTTTTTTCTTTATTTTTTAGCCATGGCGTTGTCAGTTTATTTTCGACTTATGAGTTTGAATGTCACTTTGATATTTTTCGCCTCTCTTGTAAATTAAACTTTGAACTTTAACTTTAAACAATCTGGGTCATTTATATACAATCATATTAACAAGTTCTAGTCATGATTTTATATGTTGCAATCTACATTCTATAGATAATATGCAATAATATCCCTAATCTAAACTAATGTTGGATTTAATTGTAGAAATGAATCGTTAAATTGGGCCATATATATAAAATAGCACTATATCTGTAGGTAAACCTTGAATAATATGTCATATAATATAATTATTTTGATAATAAACGAATATCCTTGAATCCTTTCTAATCAAAACTTCCACGTCCATTGTATTATCTATTAACTGTTAAAATTATTCATTTGAATATGGTATGAGTATACTGAGTCTGTATATTTGTTCTCGGGTAAAATATCGAAAAAAGAACAATATAAAAACCGTCTGAATGGGCCAGTTTTTTGTAAAGTACTTAACAGTATTGGCTTTTATTCGTCTAGCCAGGAAAATCATCAACTGTTCTTGATTTGACTTAAGTATCCTGTAGACCATTATATTGTGTTCGACGCAATCTGACCCATACTAAACAATATGCATGTTTGAACTATTCTCGATCGACAGTCACCATTTCAGAACCTAGTGCATTCTTGTTAATAGTTTTAAAACAGAACACCAACCCATTGTAATTGTCCAACGCCGCCTAAACATTTCACATTCAACCAATGATGCAATGTCAGTTTTCAAAATTACATGACATGATTATATTTGTATACATCTCTAGTTCTAAACAAATACCGTGTTCGATGAACATATTTACTTTATTACCAAATCTTTTTCTATAATTCTTCATAGAAAACGTTTTTTTGAAGCGAAAACGAAAAAAAAATTAACATTGTCATTTTGAAACCGCCTAAGTCTGCTAACATCAACGGGCAATCTCTGTAATATACTTTGCATTGAAAATATTAACACGGGTCTAAGATGATGATGGTGGATTGTTGTTAAAAGTCCAGTGGCAAATACTACAGGACTGTCGGGACGAGAACATATTAATGAAATTATGAACCCTACTTTGTGCTAGACCTTAAATTGATACTTTTGCTTTTTATAGATCTGTTCAAAACATTTACCTTTAATTAACACCTCTGCTTTTTATTTAGCACTCCCAAACATTTATCTTTGATTTAGCAACTTCGCTTTTTATTTAGCTTTTCAATACATTTACCAATGCAACACCTCTCATGTAGTATTTTTAATGTTCAGGTAATTCCGCACACTTACCATTAATTTCATTAGCTTACCTCGATGGATTCAAGCGTATGATGAAATCCAGTATGTGTGAGTCTTTTCTCGTTTCTCCAGCACACAAGCAGTGATCGATTCGAGTACGACTTATACATAATGTAAAACAAGTTTTCTGGCGGATTTATATCTTGTGTATAAAATTCACAGATATCTCCGGTAAGATCAGACAAGGCATTCAACATGTTACCGACTTCTATCGATTCGTATGTCTTCATAATTCTACAAAAAAAAAAAAAAAAAAATGTGTATTTTTTTTATCTCATTTTACAACAAAATATTTTAAAATCTTATAACAATGTAAGCCAAAAGCATTTAGGAAGGAGCAAGTGGTTTTTGAGTCGGTGGGTTGCTGTCTAATTGACATTTACAAGAAAAAAAGATCTGTAAAATAAAACCAGATGTGTCATGACAACACAAATGTCCCAATCTTCGGAATGACCAAAAGTACTCACTTATTATTTTTAATAGGAGGTCACTGGGAACAAACGCAAATTCGATGTAGAGCTCAATATTTTATATTAATGAACAAAACGTCCATATCTACAGGTATAACGAAAAATTCCAGACAAGTACAATGTTCATGGAATTTTTTAAGTCCATTTAGGACATAAATCTATGAAAAGTAAGGCATCCGATAAGAAAAAAAGAAACTTATAATTCACGTACTTATCAACTCAGAACCTGCTCAATATCGACAGGCAAAGGGACAAACATATTCAGATCTTGTGGTCATAACAACTTCAGAGTACGATTATCGTACTCAGACTAAGAAATCAGCCAATCATATAACTGTAATCATTGGTGTTTCCAGCACAAATTTGGTACTCGGTGTACCGAGTAAAGTTTTATGACCGTCGGCCCAGGCCTTGTGGTCATTAAAACTTTGAGAACGATTATCGTACTTAGACTCAGAAATCAGCCAATCATATAACTGCAATCATTGATGTTTCGAGCACACATTTGGTACTCGGTGTACCGAGTAAAGTTTTATGACCGTACGCCCAGGCCTTGTGGTCATAAAAAATTCGAGAACGATTATCGTACTCAGACTCAGAAGTCAGCCAATCATATAACTGCAATCATTGATGTTTCGTGCACACATTTGGTACTCGGTGTACCGAGTAAAGTTTTATAACTTAAGGCCCAGGCCTTGTGGTCATAAATACTTCGAGAACGATTATCGTACTCAAACTCAGAAATCAATCAATCAAAATACTGGAATTGGCGTTTCGAGGACAAATTTGGTACTTGGAGTACTGAGTAGATAGGGTTTTTTGACCGAGCGCCCTGGACAACTGTTTGATTCAGTGTTGCTCAGTCTTTAGTTTTTTATGTTATGTTTTGTAGGCTGTTGTTTGTCTTTTGGTCGTTTATCGTTTTTATAATGGCGTTGTTTGTTTGTCTTTTGGTCATTTATCGGTTTTATAATGGCGTTGTTTGTTTGTCTTTGACTAATGAGTTTGAATATCCCTTTGGTATCTCTCCGCCTCTCTTTTTGATATGGGGGAAATTTTGCAATGCAAAAGACCACCTTTGGACCTCTCAAAGAGTTGCTGCATGGTTCCAGAAAATACAAAGAGCATGGCATTTTCGCTACAGAAGGTCCAATTTTTAAACATCGGCTACATTCTTTAGTGTCTCGGTGGAACTTACATTTGGCAATCATTAAAGACAATTTTAATTCATGCTTCAACAGTTATACCATGACCACGACTCATCAAGATTACACACTTGGTTATATTGACTGTTATTCTAAAGAAATAATCTTCAATGGTATTCTGTAATATGGAGCTATTTTTATATATGAACACATACAATTATATCAAATGAATGTCAAGGGACATGCTACATTTCCGAATGTCTAGTCATATATATAAATAATTGATGACTGTACGTCCACAAACCATTATTGAAATTCTAAATATAATATCTAAAAAGTAAATCACTTAAAGCACATACATTGTATTCAGTAAAATCAGTTTTACGTAGCAGCCAACATTCTTTAGCAGTAATTTAAAAAATTATCTACTTAGTACTAACTACATTCCTTCACTCCATTCAGAAGTGGTGTTTACATGTTTCTCTTTCACCAAAGGGTTTCTTAATGTTTTGATATAGATAAGAAGATGTGGTATGAGTACCAATGAGACAACTATCCATCCAAGTCACAATGTATAAAAAGTAAACAATTATAGGTCAAAGTACAGCCTTCAACACGGAGCTTTGGCTCACACCGAACAGCAAGCTATAAAGGGCCCCAAAATGATAAGTGCAAAACAATTCAAACATGAAACCCTACGGTCTAATCTATATAAAAAACGAGAAACGAGAAACATTTATGAACCACACCAACAAACGACAACCACTGAACAACAGGCCCCTGACTTAGGACAGGTGCATGCAAATGCAACGGGTTTAAACGTTGTAACAAGCGCCAACCTTCATCCTAACCTGAGATAGTAGTGTAACATTACAAAATAAAAAGACACTATAAAATATCAATTGAAATCGCTTAACTTGATCAAAAAGACATATAAACAAAAACAAGTAAACATACACTGAACGAATAAGTTTGATCTATGACACAATATAAATACAATAATAATAAAAAAAGATGTAGCAACAGTGTCAAAAAGACAACTCTGACTTGGGACAGGCGCAAAAATGCGGCGGGGTTAAACATGTTTTGTGAGATCTCAACCCGCCACTATACCTCTAGCCAACGTAGAATAAACAAACACACAACAATACGCACAGTAAACTCAGTTTAAAAGAAGTCCGAGTCCGATGTCAGAATAGGTAAAAAAAGAAACTAAGCAAAATAACAATGATACACAAATTAACACAGGACTACTAGCAGTTACTGACATGCCAGCTCCAGACCTCAATTAAACTGTTTGAAAGATTATGTCAAGTTGAAAATCAAGCACAATCCCTCCCGTTAGGGGTTTAAAATCATACCATCATAAAATATATGAGAAGAATATAAACCGTATCATGCCAACAATTGGTTTTAGAACAAATGTGTTTATTTCCGATGCAAAGACCCTATGAGTGAATCAATATTAATACCAAAATATGCCATCTTTAATGACCTGACAACAGTATCGTAACTATATCCCTTCCGAATAAGTCTGTATTAAGGTTTGGTTAGCTTTTTAGGTGAATGTCGATATTTTTTTGCTTTGTATAGAATATTACCATAAAAGATGGATATGAAATACCTGAACGTATAAGATGTCTACATGTTCATTTATAATTACGAATAATGTCTTTGTACCGATGATAACATTTAGTAAATGTTTTGACTAGTTTGTGATGTTGAAAACCCTGGTGTAATAATTTTTCAGTAATACAGAGATTTCTTTCGTTAAAATCAAATACGTTGTTACATACACGAGCGAATCGAACAAGTTGAGATATATAAACACCATAAGATGGTGACAAGGGAACGTCACCATCTAAAATGGATAATTAACAACAGGAAATGAAAAATCATCTCTTTTATCATAAATTTTGGTATTAAGCTTCCCGTTAAAGATATAGATATCAGGATCCAAGAAAGGGCAATGTTCATTGTTTGTATTAGCTTTATTCAAAGTCAGTTCAGCAGGATAAATCTCTTTAGTGTACATACTGAAGTCGTCATTAATGAGAGCCAATATATCATCCAAATATCTGAAAGTTTTATTAAATTTATGTATCAGCTAGATGTTGTTTCCATGGGTCTTTGCTGATTTTAGTCATAAATTGTAATCCATAACAATACAGAAACAGGTCCGCAATCGAAGTAATGCCTACTAATGTTAAAATGAACACAGAACTGCTTCTATTCTAATATGGAAATTTATAACTTTTGTACTTCGAAGCGTACCTATAAGACACGTTCGAAAGGCCGCCATTTTGAATAGATGAAGCCAATACGTGATAGAAACCAACCGTTCATAATTAATAAATAGATATATGATAAGTTTCTTTTATAATGATTTAATTTAATTTCCTATTCAGAAACACCAACACAAATGTCCATTTTGATCTCCGGTGTATTTTAATAAATAAATTGTTTAATTGTGACGTCAATCACGTGATCTCTGGTGTATTTTGATAAATAAATTGTTTAATTGGACATCAATCACGTGATCTCTGGTGTATTTTAAATTGTTTAATTGTGACGTCAATCACGTGATCTCCGATGTATTAATTGTTTAATTGTGACGTCAATCACGTGATCTCCTGTGTCTTAATTGTTTGGTTGTGACGTCAATCAAGTGCGCCAATGTTCTATTGGAACTAAAACAAGGCTTTGTTTCCAAAGCGAAAAATAATAAACGTACAACTGAGGGTTATTATTTACTTGCATTCAGTGTTTTGGAACTAGCCATTATACCATTAAAATTCATCAATTTGAAGAAAAAAAATTGAATTTTTGCACGAAAATTGGTCAGTTTTTGAGTATCATTTATATGACTAACCGTATGGTCGTATATGTTCTTATGTTTTATTCAGGAAGCGAATTAAGGGGAGGCTGCATCTGTTGTGGGTGTTTCTGATGATGGTTTGTTATGAAAAGACCTTATAACGCAACCTTAAAATATGCTTGATAATTAGATATGTATTGTTAAGCGTTTCTTTTTAATAGATATTGATTATATTACTGCATCGAGTGTGATACGATATTTATCCACTCGAGACAGTTAAATTTCAAATTTAAAACGCGAGGCTCACCGAGCGTTTTAAATAATTAAAATTTAACTGTCGAGAATAAATACATATCATATTGCACGAGATTTGGTGTTGGAATCTGTTTCTCTGGTGATTTCTAGACGATATGCAGACAAACTTAATCCTTCTTTTCGAATGATCTGCAAAAAGATGCGTTCTTTCTATGTGACGCAATCAGACATGGTCGCCTTTTTTCATGACGTCACAATAGGAATTTCAGAGAAAAGCAATAAAATTTCACGACATACTCGAATATTGACCAATGAAGAACTGAGATCAAACGAACCACACGTTGATTAAAAAAATTAATTAAAAAAAATAATCAATAGGTCAGCAAAAGGATAGATCGGGTAAGACTTAGAGAAAGATTTATAAACGTGGACAGTTATGTTTTTTTCTCCACAAGAACCGTCTCTAACATTAATTTATTACAAAGTTTTGGTGCTGCTTTTTATGTATTAGTACACATATGGCAAACACAAGATAAAAGTAGACGTTGATGGAAGCTGAAAAATATTTCGATCTTTTTCAAAGATTTCCGAACAAATTTCATATATATTTGCATATTTTTTCCGTATAATTTTAGAAGGCAAATTGTTGCTAGCATAAGATATGTTCCAAAATTATGCAGCATTCGGAAATGTGTAGCATACTTTAAATATTTGTAAATATGTTTTGATCATTTTACATAACTCGAAATTGTGACTACTCCTTTAAGCAAAGATGACGTAAAATGATTCTTGTTATTCGTTCAATTTTTTCTAATTGTAATGCACCCTTTTCTAGCTTGGCTTTTGACATTAATCAATTAAATTCATACATGCACGTCAAATGCAGCAAAACTGATTTTTTTCTCCATATTATTAAAATTTATACTTACTTGGCATAAGCTTTTTCTAGAAGTGGTCCCCAGAATTCAGGTGGACTACCATAGGCCTGACAGTATAACAGACTATTTTGTAGACATGGTAAATTGTCATCTATAATAGTGTCCAACCAATCACCAAACCGCCAAATATTGAAACGAAAAGCACCTGAAAATTATAATGCACTTTTAAACTCATAATGGATACCAGTATTAAAGTGTACGCCAGACGCGCGTTTCGTCTACAAAATACTCATCAATGACGCTCGAATAAAAAAGGTTAACGTACGAAGTTGAAGAGCATTGCTATTCCATCTTGTAATTATAGAAAAAAAACCTCACCAAAGATGTCAGTCTCATAATTTTGTACGCCAGAAGCGTGTTTTGTCTACAAAAAAGTTAAAAAGACCAAATGAAGTACGAAGTTGCAGAGCCCTGCTGACCGCAAAATTCCAAAAGGTTATGCCAAATAGAGTTAAGGTAATCTATTCCTGGGGTAGAAAATCCTTAGAATTTCAAATAATAAAACGTTTTGTAAACAATTTCTTTTTTTCTCCTTGTAAACAACAATTAACAAATTGATATGAACTTTTTAAGAAAAAAATAGTACAAAGTCACGGATTGATGATTGTAACACCTAACATTTGTGTCTGCCTTTATTTATTTTAGGGGACATACATGTATACAGGAATAAATGAAATCATTAATACGTGTTGTTCCTCGTCAAAAAGACTACAAACAAAGACACAAGATAAAAAAAAAAAAAAAAAAAACAAACATCTAGAGGTCAAAATATTGAATTAAAAAGTTTAAATATATTTCCTATTTTGTAAATTGGAAAATGAAAATAAAGACATGTGGTATAATCCAATGAGACAACTATCTACGAAAGTTCAAATGACGAAGATAAGAATTCGATTTACAAAATAAAGATATAACAGTTTCATTCAATAATATCCAAGATTTTATCAGCTTTAAAAAAGAAAGAAAACGCCCTTAATGTCTGATATGAGATATACAATATTTAATTCTATAAACTTAAAAATCTTGCCACTACTACATCACATGATTGGAATAAAAAATAATTAAATATAATAAAATGGTGAAGGTTCGTGTGATTGCGATTAATTTCATTCGTGAAATCGATGATGTTAAGTAAAAATAATATTCTTTGATGAAGTCGTGATTACAGAATCAGACACAAAAATGTCCGCTAATGTATCGTAAATTACAATAATTTTAAGTACAATCAGACTTAGATGTTTGATTTACATGCATGTATCCTAAGTCAGGAATCTGATGTTCAGTAGTTGTCGTTTGTTGATGTGGTTCATAAGTGTTTCTCGTTTCTCGTTTTTCATATAGATTAGATCGTTGGTTTTCCCGTTTGAATGGTTTTACACTAGTAATTTTGGGGCCCTTTATAGCTTGCTGTTCGGTGTGAGCCTAGGCTCCGAATTGAAGACCGTACTTTGACCTATAATGGTTTACTTTTATAAATTTTGACTTGGACGGAGAGTTGTCTCATTGGCACTCATACGACATCTTCTTATACTTATATAGTTAGAATCAGTTCTTATTGAGTTTCAACTCAGAACAGTCTGATTTATCTGTCATAGTACTGTTCTAAGCTGTTCTATCCTTTAACTGATCCGAGAAATTTCCGAACAAGTTCCAGCGAAGAACAGTCCAAAACTGCCAGCATGCAGCTGTTTTACCATTTAAAATGGCCCGAGAACTGATATAAGGTAGAACTGTCAGAACAAGTTCTAGGGGAGAACTCGGTCCACATCTTTTCTAGGGTGATAAGTAAAAGACACAAAAGAAATATATTTTAAGAGCAAACAATTTTTCTTAGAATTTGGAACTTTTCAGAATCTAAATTGATGAAGATTCTTAAAACAGAAATGTTTAGTTTATCGCAATTTGTTTAACATGCTGTCAATTTTAACATGCTTTACCAACACGATGTTCATAGCTATATCTCATAAGAGCAAGTTACTTGTAATCGTGCAATTTGTTAATGGCTTTACAGTAATATTACCAACATGACAAATTATTATCTTTCCCTGCGTAATCTTGGAAAATATTAAGGGAACGCCCATTTGATTTTTCGCGGGGAGGGAGAAAATTTTGATAAGAATAGTCTGACCTATTTTAAAAGAACTGGAAAAATTAATTAATATTCAGAAATTTGTTTTTCTTGCAAACGCACCCCACCCCCTTCCAGAATATTAAATGGTCAACTTCTAACTTTTCTAACAAATTTTAAAACGATATAAAATATGTACGAGTCGATCTAAATGATTAATATACAGTGACCTTCTGCTGTTGTCTGTTCTATGGTCGGGTTGTTGTCTCTTTGACACATTCCCCATTTCCATTCTCAATTTTAAATATGCCTTGTTTCGAAAGAAATAGATATATAAATTGCATCATGTCCTGACATTAATGTCTTCTTAATATCAGTTCTTGTTTCATCAAACACGACAAAAATTGGAATATATAGTTACTCATACGTCACTGTAATAGTCACTATAGGAGAACAGAAGTGATTCAATTGGGGAATAAATAAATGTCGATTTAATATGCATTCAATAAAAAAAACAAAACAAATACACTTAAATGAAAAGACGCTTGAAGCAACTTTTGTATGTAATTACCAATATAATCGTTGATAAAACTTTGATCACAATTTCTGTATCCCGGCATCAATTTTTCCAAGTAACGTACACCCAAGGATGCGACTACGATAGCGGCCTGGAACCAGTCCCTTTTCTTGAACGATTTCCATGGAAATGGAGCATCCCAAGTTCCACCAACTCCGCAAAAAGTTGCATCATTTTCTAAAATCTGAAGTAAAAAAAAAGAAAAAAAAATATTGTGTATGCAACATTTCGTGGTTAATTCTCGTTCCCTGTTTCAACATATTTGTAATATTCAAAAAGAGATGCGACATAAGCGATGATAACAAAAGAAATGAAAGGTGTTCATGCATTTTTTGTGACAAAAGAAAATCTCTAACAATGTTTTTCATCCATCAGTAATAACACAATGAGAGATATATTTGAACATGCTAATGAATGTATTGAATTTCTACAACGTTATGGCGATGCTCAGATCCTGAGCACGAAGGAACAATAAATTACAACTCCGTATATAGAAACATTTTATCATCATTACATAAATGTAAATGCAGAGACATACATGGGTGTTGTTTATTGTATAATGTGCTGAGATGATAGTGATAAAATATTCTGACTTTCTTGTCCGCATAAAAATCTCTGACATGTTATTTCATAATCAGTTTGTAACTTTAATTTATGTGATTTTCTTCCGGGTTGTACTCTATGATTCAAATCTGTTACGTAGAGAATATTCCAGGAACAATGATGCTATATATAGATTTAGTTTACAATCAGCAGCTCTTTTTTGTTCATACTGTTTTAGTTTAAGGTTGTGAATTTTGTCATTGTTGAAGACTTTACGCGGAATCTATAAATATAGGCGCGACTATTTTTATGCCACATGTGGAAAAGGATGTGCCTACCCTTCCAGAACACATAAGTTCATCCACGGTTTTTGCCGGGGGTCGTGTTGCTCAGTCTTTAGTTTTTGCCAGGATCGTGTTGCTCAGTCTTTAGTTTTTGCCGGGGATCGTGTTGCTCAGTCTTTAGTTTTTGCCGGGACGTGTTGCTCAGTCTTTAGTTTTTGCCGGGATCGTGTTGCTCAGTCTTTAGTTTTTGCCGGGATCGTGTTGCTCAGTCTTTAGTTTTTGCCGGGGATCGTGTTGCTCAGTCTTTAGTTTTTGCCGGGATCATGTTGCTCAGTCTTTAGTTTTTGCCGGGACGTGTTGCTCAGTCTTTAGTTTTTGCCGGGATCGTGTTGCTCAGTCTTTAGTTTTTGCCGGGGATCGTGTTGCTCAGTCTTTAGTTTTTGCCGGGGATCGTGTTGCTCAGTCTTTAGTTTTTGCCGGGGATCGTGTTGCTCAGTCTTTAGTTTTTGCCGGGGATCGTGTTGCTCAGTCTTTAGTTTTTGCCGGGGATCGTGTTGCTCAGTCTTTAGTTTTTGCCGGGATCGTGTTACTCAGTCTTTAGTTTTTGCCGGGGATCGTGTTGCTCAGTCTTTAGTTTTTGCCGGGGATCGTGTTGCTCAGTCTTTAGTTTTTGCCGGGGATCGTGTTGCTCAGTCTTTAGTTTTTGCCGGGGATCGTGTTGCTCAGTCTTTAGTTTTTGCCGGGATCGTGTTGCTCAGTCTTTAGTTTTTGCCGGGACGTGTTGCTCAGTCTTTAGTTTTTGCCAGGATCGTGTTGCTCAGTCTTTAGTTTTTGCCGGGGATCGTGTTGCTCAGTCTTTAGTTTTTGCCGGGGATCGTGTTGCTCAGTCTTTAGTTTTTGCCGGGGATCGTGTTGCTCAGTCTTTAGTTTTTGTCGGAGTCGTGTTGCTCAGTCTTTAGTTTTTGCCGGGGATCGTGTTGCTCAGTCTTTAGTTTTTGCCGGGATCGTGTTACTCAGTCTTTAGTTTTTGCCGGGATCGTGTTACTCAGTCTTTAGTTTTTGCCGGGGATCGTGTTGCTCAGTCTTTAGTTTTTGCCGGGGATCGTGTTGCTCAGTCTTTAGTTTTTGCCGGGGATCGTGTTGCTCAGTCTTTAGTTTTTGCCGGGATCGTGTTGCTCAGTCTTTAGTTTTTGCCGGGGATCGTGTTGCTCAGTCTTTAGTTTTTGCCGGGGTCGTGTTGCTCAGTCTTTAGTTTTTGACGGGGTCGTGTTGCTCAGTCTTTAGTTTTTGCCGGGGTCGTGTTGCTTTTGCCGGGGTCCTGTTGCTCAGTCCTTAGTTTTCTTTGTAGTGTTTTGTAGACTGTGTTTTGTCTTTTTTTTCGATTTTGTTTTTGTTGTTTTTGTCACGGTTTTGTGACGCGCAGTTTCTCTTCGACTTATAGTACATGTATCTTCCGACTCTTGTTTAACTGCCCTTCTCTAAATGTTGAACTTCGATCTGGTATTTGATTTTGACCTTTTAGTTGTTTGGAGTTATATTCGAGACATGTATTTCTAAAGAGTATCGATAACCTGCTCATTATGCAAGTTGCGTACTTTTATTTTTCAAATTTTCGGATGGTAATGGTTCACAACAAAGGTATTTTTTTATTGGCTACCTTCGGTACTTAATAACAAAAACCAACTTTAAATTAAGATCTATAATAAATCTGTAATTTATAATTTCGAAAGAGCATCTAATCACGAATTTAACTTTTAATAATTACATAACATGTTTGGTTCATAAGAACCCGTACTTTTGATTGGCTGAAAGCTATCACGAGTTATTCCAATATCAAATTGTATTTCTCAATAAAAATTAACATTCGTGACAGCACATCCTTCTAAAAACAACTTCTCAACAATGCATAGGAAAGCAAACGAAAAATTTGTCGATTGTTTCTGTTTAATCTATTGAAACTTGTATAGACTTGTGAGTTTTAAGAGATTGGCACATTGTTAAGACACCTGTCTATTGTCAAAGACAACATAGATTGCCCTTTATATGTTGTCTGTTTGGTTTTTTTTTCATTGGGTTGCTGTCTCAACGATGTATATCCTTCCGTGCGTAATGTAGATATTTACATATACAAGTTACATGTGTATGTAAAACATGCCTTTCAGTTTACTTATAAATGTGATATGTATCAGAGTCTAAGCACACTTTACACGTATTTCTTGATTGTACAATATTTACAATATGTGATGTATACAAATACTCTGAAAAACACTTGTGAAGATCATGCGATTTACGGATATCAAGTTTTTGATATCCCGTCATGAATTAGGGGATTACTGCCCTGCACGGATGTTTTAAGGACGTATTTCATAACGTCCGTAGCTAATTAACCTGTGTATAAATTAAAAAAAAATATGTACCTGTGAGAGCGTAAATATGCCATTTACTTTTGTTGGCCTTCATAGATACATCATGCAGGCACCTTTACTACAAGACAGCAAACCAGTAACACGAAAAAGACAGGTTCATGCTATATTTGCAGGGCAGTATACCATTAATTCATGACGGGATATCAAAAACTTGAACCTTTATTATAAATCAAAGCATGATATTTTTTTTTAAACCATTTTTTCACGTGAATATATCAACTTCTTATGTTAAAGTGAAAGAAATGTATAAGGCAAATATTTTACAAAGTTTTTCTAATGAAAATAAAACATGTGCTTTTACAGCCGTGATACGGACGTGGTACTATTTTTCCGTAAAACGTCCGTGATACGGATGTTTTACGGACGTATTTCATAATATCCGTAGCTATTTTACATGTGTATAAGTTTTATAAATGAGGCCATTTTCCATAAATTTAATATTCCCAAGGATCATAACTCTTTTTAAAAAAGTCGATCGTCCACTATTATAGAACTTGTCCGAGATATTGCTGATATTAACCTATAATTTAATTTTGGATGTAACACGTCTTCTGATTGGCTGACAGTGTTTTGTCTATCAGCTCATGGACATAATTTTGTCATATGACCGCGACGTCATCAACGTTTTTATCATGATTTACTCCTTTTTAGAATTAAATTATAAGAAATGACTTTAATATTTTTTCTGTCTATTCGAAATAACATAAAAAATGTGGTGCACACTTTTAAATAACCCGCTACGCGGATTATTCAGTGTGCACCATATTTTTTATGTTATTTCTTCATAGACAGAAAAAATGTTACAGTCATTCCTTAAATAGTATAAGATTTGTAAAAATTTGGCAAGAATTGTACCCGTGAGAGCGCTAACGAGGCCATTTTCCATAAATTTATTATTTCCAAGGGGCATAACTCTTTTTTAAAAAGTCAATCGGCCACTATTATAGAACTTGTCCGAGATATTGCTGATATTAACCTATAGTATAAGTTTTATAAAAATCTGGCATGAATTGTACCTGTGAGAGCGCAAACAAGACCGGACGGACGGACGCCCGGAATTTCCATGTCCCCCGCAACGCATTAAGCGGGGGACAAATAAATTCAACTAACTTGTCTATCTTGAATATATCACAATGGCATACAGTTCCGGTAGTTCTGTATTAACATGATTTATGATAATACGTTATGTCATCGTTTTCAAATCAAATTATGTACATGTATTAGTAATTAAACCAAGACTGCAGCTCCCTTGGGTTAAAGTTGACATTTAATGGTATTGACAGTACTATTTAAGTGCATTTTGTTTTGAAGCTGAGAAACTTTGTCCCCTGCTCTGACATGAAATATCATTGTGTCTGTCTTTTTCTGAATTTTACTGATTAATAAAAATTAATGTTAAATCTTTCGATACACGAACGTTTTTCTTCCCCTCAGGCAAATTTGACTCTAGCTGACAACGTATTTCTGCTATTGGATTTTCAATGCTCTTTGTAGTTCATTTGGATTTGCAACTGTTTTTATTTGAATGCAACTGATTAATCTATGTAACGAAATGCGGTACTTATATATATATACTAAATTATTAGTTTTGTCTCTATGATAACTATATATATGAGAGTCTGGATGGGGTTTACAGAATAGAGAATACTTGACAAAAAGAACAGAATAAAGGGAATACAGATACAAAAAAGAGAAACATAGGTCAAAATAGAGAAAAGAATAGAAAAAAATTGGCTAAAAAATTAAACAAAATAACGAAATGAATGCCCCTATTGGTTAGTTAGATGACCTCTAAATTTGATTTTCTAGTTCGCCAATGTATATTGTATCATTGATGTTGTATAATCGCATACTCGTGATGATGTTTCACGTCTGTGGGACATCGAACTTCTAAATACGGGAAAGAAAGCAATTACCTAATTGCCAATAAA